GTTGCTACGAAAACACATTACAAAAAACATAAGAACATATCTTCTTTCTCCCTATACAAAATGCGTAGTAGCACCTTAAAGAGTAAGCCCAGGACATGCCCTACGACTTGTCGAAGTAGAATGCGCGATCAAAACAAAATTCAAAAAGAAAACAGTTTATTGTTTACCCATTCCACTGGCACTAATCTCTCCAGAGGATTCAAGGGTTACTGTTTTTGCACGGTGGAAGTTAACTACTGATCCTTTGATGAAACCTTCGACGATAATATCCTCAACTCGGCATATCTAGAAAGAAAAGTTATCAGAATTTCCATGCTGAAGAAAAAGAAAAGTTGACAGAATTTTCATGCCAGAGCATGCTGGTTTTTAAGTACGGTAGAAGTACCTGTAGAGTAAAGGAAAGAGACGAATTGACATTGCAATCCTCTGGAGGATTCAGTAGTTCGTAGGGGCAATCTTGCCGATCACAATAGAGCTTTGGTGTACTGCAAAGGATGTGAACTCATTATTCTAAGCTGATTTTATCTCAGCAGAATATGGAATCAAATAAATATAGCATTTTCCTTCACACTTACACAGCATCTCGGGATGCATTCTCCAGAGGACCACGCAAAATAGATCCAGGCCCAACCTTCAATTCCAAAGGAAAAAAAAAAAAAAAAAGAAGTCATTATCTTCTGGACGAGCAAATCAAGTACCTTTCTATATCTACTATTTAAAGCCAAATGGCCTTAAAGGAGACCGTTTGTCAAATTACGCTAGTTTCATTACATTTAACTAGCTATAAACACCAACTATCTTTGCACCTGCACAAAAAAGTCATAGAATTCCGGAATGTCACCAAAATAAACACACTGAAACCCCTTACATATATCTGGTAAAACAGTGACAAAACAAGCCGCTGTGCTTCAATTGAATCTCCTGGTCCAGTTAGATTCAAGAGACCTTGTCCATAGACTCCAAGATTGCCTTTTGAGCGAATCACAGATGATTCCTATATTTAGAATGAGAGGTCATACAAACAAATTACATACAACGGCATGTCAAAAAAATTACTGGGAGGAAAACAATGACATGAATTTGTGAGTACCCTAAGAACCAATAAATTGCTAGCCTCAAGTCTGGAAGTCGAAACAGTTGTATCTCCCCCTCCTCCCTCTATATGCAATTCTGAATTCCACATCAAGAACATCTTGACAGTCATGCGTAATGCCCCATAAACCTGGTACGTACCAATAAACAGAAAGCTTGACGAACAAATTTACATGAGTACCAAAATAAAATATAGGATATGCAGACAGGCCAGCTAAACCAAGAATAAAACAGGTAGTAACAAAACAGAATTATACATATCTAGCACAGACAGACACAAGGTTGTTGCTTCCGAATTTCTGAAAAGGAGGAGAACCAAGATAAACTGACCTTGATAGTGGAATCACTCATTAAGAGTTCTTCGGCCAGTAACTCAAATACTGATGTACCATAATGAGACAATCCGAAGCTCAGAACACCACCAGACAACAAACTAATTTGTCCTTGAACCTACATAAAGAATTCTGCTTGAGTACTACATCTTTAAGAATTAGGTGTAGCTGTAAAGGCCTAAGCCAAATAATATGCTGAAAAGTGGAAAATCATAAGAAATCCTAAATATGCATATACAGAAGCAACAAAAAAAATATGTAGAGAAGAGACACTTGAGTTCCAATAAAAAGTATCATGTTTATATGAGATAACAAATAACCCTATCATCAAAACTGATAAGTTTATCTAAACAGTTGGCCTACAAAGCCCATGTCCTGGAAATTCATTTTCTAAATACCTGGACACGACTCCATAGCAGAGGACAAGTTGCTCGCGCTTTGTCCTGAATATAAACATTGGTCCAACGAGCCTGAATAGGGAATTCTAAGAGAAGCGTATAAGTGTCTGTCGTTAGATTGTAGTTGCTAACGAAAAGGCTTCGGGGAACAGCATCGTATAGGGTGCCAGCAGCACCTGAGTTATATGGACACCCGATACTGTACCCGCCTGCATGTAGGAGGATGAAATTAGTTCACATGATTGAAAATGCTAAGATAGTACGTATTAAAATAACTCGCTCAAATCATAAAGAAAAAACTACAAGGATATACAATATGTGCAGATGTTAGCAAAGTAACCAGGTAAAGATCAGGATGAAGAAATTTGCTGTGATAATTAATCAGCTGAGAGAATGAAATTATATGATTAAATCTATTGGTTCATACTTTAGAACCCAATCAATTTCGCAAGAGTGAAGTGTAGATATAATTACGAGGGCCAGAAAGAAACAGTGGCCTCTCAGGAAGAGAAACTAACCATGTACAAAAATCTTTGGGTCATCATGCCTGCTAAAAACATCGACAGATACTCTTCCACCACCCCCACCACCGTAACCACTCCCACCACATGCACTAATCTTTCCAAATCCAGTCCTGCACTCAAAACAAGAGTAAAGCATAAGAACCTGGCTAAGATCAATGTACCAACAAAAACTTAAAAGTTCCATTAAAACCAAAGCAACAGCTAGTGAAAAGATCGAACAGAAACGAATTTTCATTACATCTTATACGCAATAATGAAGATGCTACCACCAGAGCCACCACCTCCTTTAGCTCCTCCATAACCCCCTTCCGCCAAAACACTCCCATTAACATCCAAAAACTTCGTAATATTCATCTTCACCCTCCCTCCACCCCCTCCTCCATAATCAATCTCCCTACTCGTCGACCCGCCTCTACTCCCATAACTCCACGGCTTATTCAAAGTCGACCACGAATACGCATCACCTCCCCACACATCCTCCGGAAGCTTCCTAGTATCCGTCAAACAACCAGCCCCTCTCCCACCATACCCCCCACCAGCACCATCAATCCCCTGCGGCGTCCCGCTAGTCTGCGACGGCGGATCCCCAGCTAAACCCGTCGTGTTCACAGCCGAGCCTTCAGCAAAGCTAGCGTTACCTGCTGAAAGCTCGAACGTTCCCGCGAGAATCGTGGATACAGCGCCTAGAGAGAAGTTCCCTGAGACATTGATCGCTATAGAGCACCCAGGGATCACACAATGGAACTTAACACCAGGAAGAATAATGAAATTCCCTTTCCCTTCTATATACACATCTTTAGTAAGATTCAAATCAGCTACGATCTTACAAGTCGTATCCAAAAACCCCACGCCGCCTAGATCGTCGGTGCAAGATACGGAGGGGCCGTGCGGTGGTGGTGGTGGCGGAGCTGGTGGTGAGTAATCCTGATGGAAAAGCAGTGACTCCGAATCCGAATCCGAATCCGGATCCAAACTCGAATTAGGCTCCACAACAGCGAATCGGTAGCTTGAGCTAGGGTTTACGGCGAAAACGGTAACAAGTAAGAAGAAGGAGACGATGAATTGAAATCGAGCCATCTAGTAGTATCTAGAGTCATCAGATACCAAGTTCAACCCTAATTCGAGTCATTGAGCTTAGCGTTGACGAAAATTGAAAAGTCAAAGACCTGATTAGACTATTCAGCACACGCACACGCACGCACGACTTACGGTTACATCAACATACTCGTATCTGTGTGCATGTAAATAGTCTCGTCTTGTAGATGAAAATCGCATAAACACAGAGTGAATAATGGCTGGTAGAGAGAGAGAAGTGTTGTTTTTTTTTTCCTTTCTCGGAAGTGAGAGAGAGCTTCCAAGGAGAAGGAGACAGGTTGGAACGGAGACTAGTTACGATCAGGTGTATGCGGCTTCACCGTAACCGCGAGGGAGTCAGCTAAACATTTTTTCTTTTGGATTTTAACAAAACGCGTCGCGACACGTCGTTCTCAGGTACGACTGTATCGTGGTTCACATGCAAGTGGTAGTGTCAGCTAAATCTTAATTTAGTTTTAATCGAATCAGGAGATGACACCTGTCACTTCACGTTTTAATTACTCTGGGTTGCTGTTCCAGAGGGGTTAATAATGACTGGGTTTAAAAATAATAATTAAATGTCAGGAGCATATACGTTCGGACATTAAACGGTGTTTATATTGGGCTTAATGGGCCTTCGGACATTAAATGGTGTTTATATTGGGCTTAATGGGCCTTGTTTACGAACACGTGCCCATATTGGGAGGTATGATCGTGGTGTGTTTTGGATTTTTGGTTAGGAATGTATGAAGAAATTTACGGAGATGTTCGAATAAATCATGGAATGGAAGAGAAATATTGGAGGGAAGGAAAGGGAAGGGGTGACTTCAACTATGAGTCTATGTCCTAACCAAAGAGCAAACCAATGCTCCATCAGCTTGAATAAAATCTGTGTTAGGTGTATGTTGTCATTTTTTCATTTAAATTCTGAGTATAACAAAACCTAGAGAGTGATAGTATTCAGAGGCGGCCTTGACACAAAGCAAAAGAAGCAAGAGTTTTCGGCCACTCTTACTTAAGTAAAATATCGGTCACTTTTTCATTAAAAAGTAAGGTTGGCTCTGATAGTATTATGGAGATCAGTGAAAAGAATACTAATGCCATACATACATTATTGTGTGGGTTGTATTATTGTTTATACAAGTCTTCTAGAGATTTTGGCATATATCTATGGGTTGGTTGATGCCATGTTTATGGCTTCTTTTAAGTAACTAACTAAAGAGAGTGGTAGATCACTGAACTAATCTGTTAAAAGAATAAACTCAGAATCCGTGGTACTCTTCACAAGTGATACATTTGAGAAGTCATGTGTACTTTAGTAATCTCTGTTTTCTTAATCATCTTTTTGTGAAGATGTATGTATCTTACTGAGAATTTATTGGCATATTTGTACATTTATTTTTGCATTCATACGATATGAATGTCTAACACTAAAAAAACCATATTCTAAGCTTTTATAAAATCTGATTAAAATCCTCAAAAGAAAATATTAATTAAAGTAATAAAAAAAATCAACGCATGATCCGATTCTCCCAAAGACTACGCGAGAAGAGACCAGCGGTCAGCCAGAAAAAGAAACTGTTCACTTTAACTTTTCAAAGTTTTAGTCTTTCTCGATCTCTCTCCCTCCATCTCCAAACCTTCTAAATCGATTCGTAACTTCTCTTTATTTTCCCTGTAATCTTCACACTATTTTGATTCTTGTAAGCTCGACACGTGCTTCCACTTAGTTTCCTCAACTAGCTCCTAGCTCCGGATCCGCTTACCTTCCCAGATCAACTTCCTTACGGTTGCAAAAGTTGATTCACTTCTCCGAGCTCCGATCTACTCCTCCGGTGAATAAATATCTGTCGAATCATCTAGAAAACACTACTCTCTTTGTAGATTCCCTGTTGCTGTGGATCGAATTCATTTATTTAGATTTGAAAACTTGGCTGAATCAAGCTTGCTTCAGAGACTTATTGATTAGAGATGAGATCCTGAAGTTCACAAGTAGATTACGTCATTGACTTTGGTTGTTTAGATTGAGACTAGGGAATTGATAGTCTCTTTTATAGTGAGTTAAGGATGCAGGCTAGGGTTATACAGATGGAAGATGGAAAAGAAAACGGAATCTTAATTAGAACAGTGAAGTCCAAGGCGTTTCCAGCGAAACTACTTATTATACTAGGCCTTTTCCTTGCGTTTGCTCTTACTGTATTCATCATTAGTGTATCTACAATTAAGTATACTGGATTACAAAGTGTAGTAACCACTGTTACTTCTGGATTTGTGACGTGCCGTGAGGAGGAACCGAATAGTTTAAGTAAATGGATACAGCCTCCTGGTGTGTTGATGCATAACATGAGTGATGAGGAGCTTCTTTGGCGTGCTTCCTTTTGGCCTCGGAGGAAAGAGTATCCGTTTGAAAGAGTTCCGAAGATTGCGTTTATGTTTTTGACGAAAGGTCCTTTGCCGCTTGCTTTGCTTTGGGAGAGGTTTTTGAAGGGGCATAAGGGGCTTTACTCGGTTTATATTCATCCGCATCCGTCTTTTAGTGCCAAGTTTCCGGCTGGTTCTGTTTTTCACCAGAGGCAGATACCGAGTCAGGTCTAGTTCTTGTGACCCTCTGTGTTTTCTGGATACTAGTTACATATAGTAGTGAGTTTCTATGTAGTCATTCTTATTGATGAATAACTGTTAATTGAATGATAAATTTGGGTTACCAATCACCTAAAAGTATGTAACGGTTGATTGAGTGATAAGTTTGGAAACTCATTACATTAGTAATGAGTTTCTATGTAGTCATTCTTATCAAAGTATAACTGTTGATTGAGTGATAAGTATGTAACTCTTGAATCATACTTGGTTTCTTTAGTAACCTTTTCTTAAAGCAGTTTCGTCTGATCACTTTATGAGCTAGCTGGTTCTGTATTTGATCCAATTTTAATTTAGATGTCTGCGTCACTGCGCAGGTTGCAGAGTGGGGGAGAATGACCATGTGCGATGCGGAGAAGCGTCTACTCGCCAACGCACTGCTCGATATCTCCAACGAATGGTTTATTCTCGTCTCAGAGTCATGCATTCCACTCTACAACTTCACGACAATCTACAGCTACTTAAGCCGATCAAAACACAGCTTCATGGGTGCTTTTGATGACCCTGGACCATTCGGACGCGGTCGCTACAACGACAACATGGAACCTGAAGTTCCCATCACTAAATGGCGGAAAGGGTCTCAATGGTTTGAGATTAACCGGGAACTCGCAGCTACCATTGTCAGAGACACATTGTATTACCCGAAGTTCAAAGAGTTTTGTAGGCCTGCTTGCTACGTGGACGAGCATTATTTCCCTACCATGTTGACGATTGAGAAACCAATGGCATTGGCTAACCGGAGCTTGACGTGGGTGGACTGGTCTAGAGGCGGCCCCCACCCGGCTACGTTTGGGCGGTCTGACATTACAGAGAAGTTCTTTGAAAAGATCTTTGATGGAAAGAACTGCAATTACAATGGTCGTAACACTTCCATGTGTTATCTTTTTGCGAGGAAGTTTGCTCCAAGTACTTTGGAGCCTTTGCTCCACATAGCTCCCAAGATTCTGGGATTTTGAGATAGAGAGGAGTGTCTCTGGACCTCTTGAAATCAAATAGAGATAATGAAATGGATATGATATGGATTCTGTCCAAGAATTTACTGCGATATTATTTTTGTTTTGTTTGTTTTATATACTAGTTTGGAAGGAAATGAGATATTAGAAGAGATAACGTTGTACACCAGGATCCACTCATTTGCTTATAGCCTTATCTTTATGCGTCAAGGAAAAGCTATGTATGGGTTACCTTAGGTTCACATGCCTGATGCCTTCAACCAGTTAGGAGACATTTGAGATGCGGGCATGCACATTTCTGCTGGATCTATTCGAGGTTCTGAGACAGTGATATGTTTTGAACCAAATAACATATGGTAGGTAATTTAAAAGTCTGAATTATCTCGTGAGTCGTCTTTTATTTTTAACACATCTCGTGATTCGTCTCTAACTCGTTTTCTTTTGATTCTTAAAAGTTAGTAGTAAATTACTTACCGACCAAGTTTTTCTTGCTTTGAATGGGAACAAAAGACAGCCAGGTGTAGACAGACTTTTACAACTGTTGGAAACTTCTCGAATCCCTCAAGAGGCTGCCAACTTCTACCATCTGTCTTTCTTATTGCTTAAACAATTCGATAAAGTTGATTCTTTATGGGCAATTCATTAAAGTAGTTTAAAAGGTTGTCATAAAGCTGATGTTATTTTTAATGGAATACATGAAGAATATACTAGTAATGACATCTTTATTTATTTGTTACTGTTTAACCATATATAACCTATGTTTCGTAGAATGAATAAAATTCCACAATGTTCACCAAATTATCAAAATGTTCCATCCAACAAACTAAATTTTGTGCATTTTATTCCTAAGGTTGAAAAAACTAATCTATATATATCATTATAAAATGCTGTTTTTAGTTCAACAAAATGGTATATTTAGTCTTGAAAATCCATTATTAGTTTATAATAATAAATAAAGTAAACCGCATTAATCAGTGCTTAGCATTTTGATTTTCACCAATCCAATAGGAAAAAAGAAAGTAAAACATACCCATCAATTTTTCCAAATCTTGTAAACCAACATTTGTTTGTTTACCAAACAAAAAAAAAATATAACAACAAGAATTCCATTTAAAAGTATAATGAAAATCAACATTGCTTGGAGTAGTTAACCACTGGCCTATGCTTTTCTACACATGTCTACTACGTATTTTAAAAAGCTCTTTAGCATTAGCCGTTACACCACCATCACCATGTGGACCAAGTCTGCGCACCTTTGTCCGTTTCCTTCACGGAACCGCGTGAGCTGTAAGAAAAAATAGACAGCTCATCTAATATTCTTCACGCGCTAAACTAACCTTCTCACCGACCGTTGTGCCTTTTAACGTATGCGAGTTAGATCCACGCCCCTCGGCTTTAACGTTCGAACAAGATTTGCAGAATAAATATCTTACAAACGGCGCCGTAACGGAGAGATAGCCTGTCGAGATCTCAGTGAACAACACGCGTTGGAATATCAACCGTCGACGAACATGATTCGCGGGACCCGCAGGTGGTCCAGCTGTAATTACAAAGGTTCTAAACCGGTCAGCTAAACCGGGTAACTCAACTTCTTTATAAGCACTTCACCACCTTCATTGATTCTCATTACTGTCAAAAAAAACTTTCTAAGCTTTAAGCTTTTTCGAATCAAACAAAAACCCTAGCCTCCTCTTCACTACCAAAAAATGGCGATCTCTAAGGCTTCCGTTGTTGCTCTCGTAGCTGTGATTGTCTCCGTCGTAGCTACCGTCGCTTCTGCTCAGGTCGAAGCTCCAGCTCCAAGTCCTACTTCCGGATCCGGTGCTTTCTCGCCGTCGTTCGTGTCAGCTGGAGTTGCAGCTGTTGCGGCTCTTGTGTTCGGTTCTGCTCTTAGGATCTAAGTCTTTGTGATGGAGATTCGTACAGAGAAGAATGTTTTTTGAAAAAAAATTGATCGGGTATAGCTGATATTCGTGTGTATTCCGGAGCTATCTATAGATCTCTCTCTCTTGTGTTTTTCTATGTCTACACCTTCATGTCTATGTGAGGGTATTATATTATCTCTAGAGTGTTGTGGTTTGTGTGTGTTAGAGACTATGATATGGTTTTATGGTATTTATATGATTCTATTTATTTATGGATCTGATGTTTCTCGGATTATCTTCTCCTTTTTGCTTAAGATACAAGTTTGTTTTACAAATCTCGCATTATTAACTAACGCGTTCAAAATTGAATCATTCAAAGCTCAAATTTAACTGAATCTGAATTTCATAATTAAATCTACAAACTGAAAAGCGAAAATTGAAATCATTATTTACAAAATTAAAGACTTATATAAATAATGCAGTAAGCTTCGAGCTTGTTTCGCTCTGATTTTGCTTTCTTTGTGTGAAACTTTGAACCAGTAGTTCAGAATTGAACCTCAAGTAGTGTAAAAATTGACTTTGTTTTGGAAATTGCGGTCACGTTTGCGTGTAAAAATCAATATACATATGGAAGAAAATGATAACCGTTAAAAAGGAAAAAAAAAAGTTGAGCTTTACAATTTTACAAGAGCTTCTTGCAGGAGATTGATTCAGTTTCATCTGTCACGATTCAGACATTGAGTAGAGTTTTTTTCTTCTATTCGTTAGCTTCAGAGACGTGTTTTTCTTCCAATCTAACAAATGGCAAAGAACAATGGTATTAACGAATTCAAGGTTCCCTTAATCAATGCCAATTTTGGTGGAAATCGAGAAAATTTTATTTGATGACTTTTTTGGGAGACATTAAAAGTTGGAAGCGTTTTTTAGACGGTAAGAAGAATGTTCAATTGTTGATTAGTACTACTATCGAAATAGTTCGCACTTATTTACATGTAACGTGTGATTCTGCACAATAGTAAAATATCATCTCTCCAAACCTGGCTCCGACCTATTGGATTTTTTATGCCATTAATCACAAATGTAAATGCAAAAATTATATGTTTCACATGATACCCCGTTTCATTTTCAGGTTTAATTGAATGTATTTGCCTCATGAGTAGTGCCTTTGTTTTGTAGCCTTGTAGGCCATCCCTTGTTGTTTTTTTTTTAATAATTTGAACAACAGGCCATCCCTGTTGTTATTTTCAAACAAATAAGTCATCCTTTACATAAAGAAAAACATTCCATCAACCAAAAGAAAAAAAATAAAAGAGTCGTTATGTTAACGGTAAGAGTCGTCGGTCTTTGATGCCATCTTTGACTGTATTATGGTAAGCTAATCAATGCCGACGCCCCGGGAAAAAACGAGTACAAATTAAAAGAGAGACAAGGCGACATGCAATGATGCAATAGAGTCACATGAACATTGTTTTTGTGTTTTCAAAAGAAACGTGTTAAAGCATGTTTGTTTTGCAAAACCGGATGATTAAGTTACTTCCAACCATTTGTTATAGTGAGTTTTTTTTAGTTGATTGAAGTAAAAATATCGTTTTATCTAGAATTTAGCAAGCTTCAGGTGTCTTTCCTGGTGTTTGGTGATACTCAGGAGTTTTGTTCCTTGTTGACAAAGGTTCTCTTTGGTTATACTCTCTATCAGATTTATATATAAGGATGATTCTTTCATTAATTTGATGGCAATTTCCTTAAACATTTTGTTATTAACTTTTTCTGTTTGTTATTAAGTTAGATGTGCTTTTAACATAAAAATCAATTGGTAATAATTGGATTGGTATATCTATCTTATATACTAAGAAAAATCATTTCTAACTATCGATGTGGAATACTTTGTGTCTAATACACTCATTCGAGATGATGGCTCTTTGGCGTCAATTTTAAGAATGTTCGGACAAAGATCGATGTGCTATCTTTAAGCCAGATCGATGAGGATCGAGTTAGATTTCGTGGATCGTAGGCTCTGATACCGATTGATCCATTTATATTATATATTACTAAGAATCCCTTCTAACTAGGGACATTTTGTATCTAATATTAGTGATTAATCATGTTTATTCTAGAATTATTATGGTTCTTTAATCACATCAAAAAGTCAAGAAAAAGAGCAAGATAAAAAAAAGGGTTTATTTGATGTGAGCTTAAAAATCAGGGGGTTAAAATGTAAATAAAGAAAAGGAGGAAGGAAGAAGCAAAGGGTTTTAGGCTAAAACTCCGAACAGATTTCGTTATTTCAGAACACTAGATCGAGTCCTTCCTCTTGTCGGAGAAATGCAATCGATTCGTAGCAGTACAAGGTTGCTTCATAGGAACCGTTTCTCTATCTCCAACACTCTTCGTTTCACTTCGTCTTCTTCCCCAAGCTTGTCTGAAAATGAATCGAGGATGCTAAAAGGGTTTGACTCTTCCCGTTCCTCCAGTGCTTTTGATTCACCGGCGAAGTATCTCATTAACTCACTGACAAAGGCGGTTTCTTCCTCTTCCCCATTACCTGTAAGCTAGCCAATGCCATTAGTGTTAAAAACGGAACCTTTGCTCTTGTGATTGTGATTTAGCTTAGATTGGTTAGTTTGAGAATTGTTTGTGATATGCATCACAATCCCAGAGTGAACTTTTCATTGTCCTAAACATCATCGATGCTTGTTTAACTTCTGAAAAATATTTGCTGTGATGCGCCTCTCTCGTCTGGTAGTGTAGATATAGAGAAGGAATGTGTGTGTGCTCTTGTTGTTCTTTCTTTTTGTGGGTTTTGATAAAGTTTTGTGCTTTTTTAGATTTTTCGACATGTTTGAGTCGCAGACAGTGATAAGGTTTCCTAGTGTTTGAGTCACTTTCTGAAAATTTATGGTGATTTTGGGATATGTTTTTCTCAGAGACAAAACTTTACGTATGCGTCGAGGTGCTTTTCCACCATTGGAGATTCTGTTCAGTCGACTCCTCGAGGATTCTCAGCTCCTGATGTGCCTCCGAGAATTAAGTTCAAGCGGCTTGATAAAACCGCCAAGCATATCATGCAGGTACGAATCCAACTTTGACTATTGGTCATTGATAGAATAATTTAAGAAAGTGGCAATGTTGTGCAGATTGTAGACAAGGAGGCGGTTGAGGAAGTGAGAAATGGTAGGGAGATACCTGAGATAAGGCCTGGTTACATTGTTCAGCTTAAAGTGGTAATTATATTATTCAGAGTGGGATCAGGAATACTCTTTTTTAAATATCTTCAAAAGGCTAAACCTATCATAGGATTTGTTGCATTTAACTTCTCTAGATTTTTCTCGTTTGAAACAGGAAGTGCCTGAGAACAAGAGGCGTGTTTCAATCGTTAAAGGAATTGTCATAGCAAGGCGTAACGCTGGTCTTAACTCTACGTTTAGGATTAGAAGGCTTGTGGCTGGAGTGGGAGTTGAATCCATGTTCCCCTTGTAAGTACTGTTGACCTTTTTGCTTGAGCTAAAGCAAAAGATGGATTTACATTGTTAGAGATTCATAGCATTAGCATTATTAGCAAGGCTCTTTTTATGAGAAAAAAATGCTGGTTGGTGGCAGGTATTCGCCAAACCTGAGGGAGATTAAAGTGTTGGACAAGAAGAGAGTAAGAAGAGCCAAACTTTATTACCTCAGAGACAAGATGAACGCTCTCAAAAAGCATTAGCACCTCAATCATATAAACAGGGTAGTCTACTCCCTTAAACAAAAGTCTTGAGGGTTTTTTTCCTTTTTTGAACCATGTATTTGAATAATAATGATGGATCGCTTGGAAGTTATTTTTCCTTTTACTTGCTCCAATAAGTCTTGGTTAGTTCATTAAGTGTAATCCGTCTCCAGCTTGTTAATCATAGTTACTACCCACAAAGCAGGAATCAAACTAATACCATAAACAAATGCTCTGTCTCGAACACACGTTGAACCTTATGATTAGGAAGCCATGGACGTGTGAAGCAACAGAGAATACGGACAGAAGGAAAATGGGATTTCTTACTTTTCCATCTATATAAAATGAAAAGAAAGATTTGTGTTTAGCTCGCCTACAGACTGAATCACTCTTTTGGTCTAGTCGGTGGAATTAGGGAGTAGTAAAGTATCTGGTAATGTACTAACATATTATCTCCTCGTAGCTATTTATTTTTTCTTTTGTTTTTGTCCTTCTTCTTCTCGTTGTTTTTATCCTTGTTGTCACTCTCATTCTCATTATTCTCTAAGTTACAGGAATCACACTCACATACACGGGTAGATATAACAAAAAGAACTTACTCAGACAAGACAACATAACTTTTATGTTTATTTAAGTTTCCACAAAACAAACTTAGAAACACACACACTCCTTTACATGGCATCTCCACCACAAAGAAACATGCTTTTGAAACGTCCACGTTTTATTAGCCCCAAACTTTGGTAAAAGAATTGTCTTAAAAAACTATCTTCAACATAGGAAGAAGGATTTGATTTGTTTTTCAAAAAAAAAGATCACTTGTTCCACCAGTGCAAGAAATCCTTGCGCCTGTTGATTTTCTTCTGAAGCTGGAGGAGTCCATAGAGCAGAGCTTCAGCTGTTGGAGGGCACCCAGGGACGTAAATGTCCACTGGCACAATTCTATCACACCCTCGAACCACCGAGTAAGAGTAGTGATAGTATCCACCTCCGTTGGCACAGCTTCCCATCGATATCACCCACCTTGGCTCCGGCATCTGGTCATAAACCCTGCCATTGGTTCCAGATATTAGAAAACTAGCAAGTAGCAACTTCTTCAAACATGATAAACAAGAAGACAAGCTTTTAAAAACACAAAATCAACCAATCCACAAAGACAACTTCTCTCAATTCTGCCACAGATCAAGGACAAATTTTGCTGGTAGTTTGAAGAGTGGGTATTGGACGTATATCTAAATGCTAGTTCAATCACTAATACTTTATTCAGCAGCATAACTAAGAGCTGATCTAGACCAACAGCTTATGAAGCTATCAATCATCTCTAAAACTCATCTAAAGTTTCCTAGTCTCGGTGATTCATGTTTTAACAACCCGTGGTTCCCTGTCACGATAAGATTGACTAAGGGATACTTTCTATCTCTAGTGTCTGAGGCCTAAAGGCATCAAAAGTAAAAGCTTAGCATTATTAAAACATACACAAGATTCTCATTTTAAAAGAAGATAAGCTTTGCAGAAAGGCTTAATAACATCAAACAAATAAAATAAGGAATTTTCATAATAAAGTGTGTCAGGTATCAATTTTTTCATAGCAACACACATTGCAATAAGATGTTCTCATTTAGAGCATCCCCAACCCTACTGTAAAAATTACTGCAAAATGGAGTGGAAAATGCAGTCATGAACAAACAAAAAATGCATTACTCCATTTTGCAGTAATTTTTGCAGTAGACAACAAAGAAAACAAAGAAAAGTCACCAAGCAAGATACTAAACAGTGAGTCAGAAGAGATAAACTCCAATTAAAAAAAATCCCCAATTAAAATCTCCTGAAACCCTAATTTGAGGTTTCTAACAACAAAATCAAGCAGAGAGTATAGGAAAGGGAGAGAGGAGAGGCGTTACTTGCGAAGAGCGGGAGCCATCTTGTTAGTAAGCGTCCCAGCGACAATCATACAATCAGATTGACGAGGACTCGGCCTAAAGATAATACCGAATCGATCCAGATCGTAGCGAGCAGCACCCGTATGCATCATCTCCACGGCGCAGCAAGCTAAGCCGAAAGTCATAGGCCAGATCGATCCCCTACGAGCCCAGTTCATCAGATCATCTACCTTTGAGATCACGAACTCCGCCGTCTTCGAGAGTCCCGGAGGAGGAGGGGAGGTGGAAGGAGGGCCTGGTCTGGTGTAGGAAGTCGGTGTTGTGGATGGGGAGAGAGCGGGGAGGGATGTGTGGAGGTGAGAGACGGCGGCGATGGTAGAGCGGTGAGATTGGAGGAGGAGAGGGAGGCGCGTGGCGGTGTTGCGCGTAATCATGGCCATTTTGATTGGATTGTCTCTCTGTGTTTTTTTTCTTTTGTCTCCTCTTCGTGGAGTTTTGATAACCAGGCGAAGTCTTATATCATTTACTAAATTCAGGTAGACAAGCCTAATCTAGTATTTATTATCTTTTGGTCTTTTGTTTTCTTATTATATACAGCCTAATCTACAATTAATCAAATTTGATGATTTTTTAATAAATCAAATATAATGATATTGTAAAATTCTAAAGGATATAATTAAAATTTCGATACAACCACTTATCTAAGTATATATGACACTGAAACAATATAGATAAAAATGATTTTTTTTTAAAAAAAAAATCATGGAAATTTAGAAGTTAATAAAAATATATTCTATGTCTTCCCTTTGCCTATTTTTATATAAAATGCATTGTAATTTTTAGTTATACAATTGTTCAAAAACATTGTGGACTTTTGGATTTAGTATTTAACTTAGATATGTTCGTCCGTGTATGCTTTCAATCTTATTAGAAAATAATTTACATAATAATATGTACACATATTAGTTATTAAAATAATTATATTATATATAATGCATTCGGTCGGATGGATTTTTTATTCATAATGGAAGTATAATTATTATATAGATCTACAAAGAAAAAAAGTTAAAAGTGTTGGTTTCTTTATTTTTATTTTTTGGAAAAAGAGGTTTCTTTCTTTTCTAAACATGAAAGATAACTAATAGATATATGTGGATATAACTCTATAATAAAATTCTATATTTAGTTTACAATCTTATAAAGAAATTGGATCCAATGCAATTTTTATGTTGTAATAGGAGAGATTAGAGAATAATATCTGATGTTTGACCCAAAAAAAAAAAAAGAATAATATCTGATGTTAAAAACTAAAATGCGATATCTATTTGGGAGTAAACTCAATTTAAAATCGTTAAAAACACACACATTTAGTAGCCATTTCGATTCCCTCTCTTTATTCCCCTCTTTTCTTTTGAATTCCATACTTCTTTATTTTCCTCTCTCCCAAAATTCAAAACTACTTTTTCCCTCACCGTTAACGGAAAAAAAAAAATGCAACCTCCGATTCGTAACCCTAGCCCTGACCGTCACCACTTCGACTTCCTGAAACCGCTTCTCAACGACTCAACCAAGCAATTCTTGCTACAACACCAAACCGGCCGAACCGATTTCTCCGATTTCGAATCAATCTTCACTCGCCTCCTCAAAGACCACCCCGATCCACCTCTCGAGCTCCTCTGGTTCTACTCCGCCGTCGTCTTCCACTCCTCGAAGATCGAATTCAACAACGACTCCGTCAAGCTAACGAGAAGCCTCTTCCAGATGCTCGTCCCTCTCTCCCAGACCTTCTCCGGGGCGAAGAAGGTAGCTATGCTGTCTCCTCTCGTTTACAATCTGAATCGGTTAGTTGAGACTAGGAGAGGAGACGTTTTGGAGTTGTTAGATGCGATTGTAAGTTACGTTAGCGCGTATTGTGTCGAGGATGAACAGGGAGATGTAGAGGATGGTTTGTTGATGGTGACTGGGTTTAGTTTCGCTGATTTGAGTCAGGTTTGGGTTGTGGATGAAGTGGGGGAGATTCGGGGTGATTGTTTGGAGATGTTTATGCCTTTTGTTAGTGAAAGATTGCGTAGAGAGGTTGGTTCTGAGTCTTGTAGCGTTGGTTACTTAGCTGGAATTGTAGCTTCTCAGCTTCTTTTGCTCAATTTGGGATTGAGGTTTGATGATTCGGTGTTACGAAAAGATCTGCGAGAGTATGTGCTTGAGATGATCAAAGGGTTCCATAGTTGCTACTTCTTTGGTGAGTCTCTTAATCCTTTGGTTTCTTTAAGAGTTCTTGTAGTCTTTAATTCTACAGGGAAGAGAGATGATTGAGTAGATGTGTTAAAAGTAATGTGATGTTTTGCTTGATCTTTGCCACAGATGGGATTCTCAAGATGCTTCTGGTGGAGCCACATCTGCATCTCACTCCACTACTGGTAGGTTCTTTACCTTAATTCAAATTAATGTTCTTCATTTATAATACGTGTGGAGTTGTTTTGTTGAATCATATTTGTATATGGAATGGAAGGGTGTTGTTGCTTTATTGAATCGTACTTTGTGTAACGAAGGACTGAGTTATGTTTTCATGGGGAACGCTCTTAAATCTTTCAGGGTCCAGAAGATGAAGCTACTTTAACGGGAACCATAACAGAAGCTGTGATTGAATCAGCGGAGGAGCTATTCCTCAGTCCTGGAAGTGGAAATTCTCAAAGAAGTTTACAGTTAAAGAACATTGCTATCAACTGGTTGTTACTTTTTGGCAAGGCTTCTCTTAGGTATGCCTATTATTATTGGCTATTAAAAGCAGTTGCTTTCGGTTACTTGATTGTTTTGCTTGATACTTCAAACGATCAAACAGGAAAACTGAAGATCAAGAGGAAACCAGCAGGTACATGAACATGTTCTCCAAGTCATGTATACCTTTTCACTTGATCAACTGGGTGATCAGTCAAGGTGAAGTGATTAGAGATGTGGACACTCTGCTAAACTCCACGCCTTTATCCTTCATCGGTAAATTGCTTTCTTTATCTCTTAGATATATATGTCATGTTGTTGACTGTTTTTCTCGTGTGAACTTTTATGTTTCTGTGGACTAACCCATTGTGCAAAATCTGATCTCCAGAATGGCTTGTATCGCTTGAAGAGCTAGAAGTAAAGGTTTTTGACTGTGAAGATTCAAAGAATTATGCGAAAACAGTGATTCACTGGTCAAGATCAGATCTCAGTCTCGAAGCCACATTGATGAAACAACAAGAGGAGGTTGATCAAGATGCAAACATGGGTGATGATCATCAAATTGTGTCATCTATCTCAAGAAAACGTAAAGAAGAGAGGCCTGATCAGGAGGGTGGTGAAACGAAAATGAAGCTCTTCAAACACAGACACAACAACTTTCAGCAGGAGTCCAGGTTGCAACCTTTCGTATTCTCGGATCGTTTGGTGAATGGGAAAGAGGTTGGAGTTTCAGACATGGAGCTCTGAGTGCTCAACAACCACTTGAAAATCGACTTAGCATGAGACCCTACATATGGTAGAAATGCTGGGGAAGTAATAATTGTTGTCCAGAGATTTTAACAAGTCATTTTGTAACTTTTAGGATCTACTTAACCAAAAAAAAAATCTATTATTGTGGATCTTTATATCGTAGAGTAAACTCTTGAAGTCCTTTATAGATCAGCAGTGTCTTTGAATCGCCTTCCATATCCAGCATCGAAAAGTTTTAACATATTTAAGCTCTGTGATTTAGGAAGAAGCTAGAGTTACTCTTTCTTAATAGAGAAGTAAAACAGAAAAGGAAATACTGTCCCAAGAATGTTATAGAGTTGTGTTGTTGTTAGATTAAGTTCGAAGAGTACGAATGTTTTAAATCTCATTTCTGTATATTTCACGCTTGAAAAAATAATAATTATCTGATATTAGAGAATGATTACAACAAATAACTGTCCATTTTCTGGTATAGTGATAAGAAATACTGATTGAGTTTTTTTTATCAGATTACAATCAAGGGGCAAAAAAAAAAAAAAAATCAAACAATACTAATTACAACTTACAAGTGAGGGAAGACCAGGAAGCAAACACTACTTTTTTTTTTGTTGTTGTTGTCAAAATTGGTGGAGGAGCATGACACCACTCTTCTCCACAAATCTTCTTTTCAGGAGTTGTGGGATTGGCGTGACATAAGTATCATCCGCTGTTTTCCGCTTTCTGATCTTACTATTTCTCCTTTCTGCCCTAAACCATAACCATCTCTTTGTTATATTTACTCTTTTATTTATTATTATTAACACAAACGATGAAAGAACTCTAAGAGACCCAACTTACCTCTATAGAAGAGTCTGGAGAAAACCATCTTAACAGTACTCCAAGATGCACAACCGCTGGTATCACTTTGAAAACCAGTGGTGTTGTAACCTGCCGATACCAAACCAAATCAGCTACTTGAAACACATATAAAGAGGATGCAACCAATATGATCTGATCATACCAGGCTAAGAGCGGTTGTCCCCAGGAGAAGCAAGTAGAGTTTCCCCTGATAATGTTTCAAAACTTCTTTCTTCAGATATCTAATCATCTCAATTCATATCCTAACGAGAAGCAGTTGCTTTACTTACCTCGATAAGGTGAAGATTGGAGGCACGGCTAAGTAGTACAAAGGCAAACTCCCCTATCTGAGCCAGAGATATTCCAACCTGCATCAATTTGACTAGAGATGGTGAAGCAGGGAGTACACGCAAGCAAACATGATCACAAGAATAATTTGAGACGGAATCTTTTACCAGCACAGCTGTCTTGTTGTTGTATCCAAATCCCTTGACAACTGTAGTAACTATTGTTGTCTTTATGATGATTACTAGTATCACAGAGGCTAACAGTATATCCACATGTGTCCAAAGAAAATGGACATTAACCAACATCCCAATGCTGGCTAGGAAAAGAGCAGCAAATAAGTTACGGATGGGTTCGATCTGCAGCAAAAATATAAAGAACCTGAGTCAGATGGACTTGTCATCTGATCACTTCCTGGCCATAACATTCAAATTGCTAAGATAAAGAGATTCAAGTAGATGAAAACAGTCATTTTTGGGTAATACATGATCAAAACTTACTTGCTCCAATGTATGTTCAGCGAGATCCGTAGTTGATATCATGACCCCTGCGGCAAAAGAACCTAGTTCAAGACTTAATCCCAGCTTATCACTACACTGAAAACGTAAATAGACCAGTCAAATAATAGTTCCTCACATATAAAAATAGGAGAAGGAGTATAACACATTATGTAAGGAAGAACATGAGGCAAAGGAAGGCTAAGTAGAACTCACCCAGGCTACGAGTAGACAAAACGCAACAGCGGCTAACTGATAGAGTTCATTTGTCTGATAGATGGAAAAAAACTTTAAATTAATCTACAGACTGGATTTCACCGGAATAGAAGATAAGGAAAATCATGAAACCTGTGATGATAAGCTGACCATTAACTTCAGCAACCAAGGAATACATGTCCGTGATAATATTGACATAACAGCCAAAAACGAAAGCAGCACAACCGCCCTAAATAAATAAAAAAGAGAAAAGGCATTATTAACATCGATTCTTTAGAGAACCACTTGGGAGGAAATAATATTTCCTTACACTTTTGCCATTGACAACATTCCCTCAACAATGCCAGAATTTCCACCAAGAACTGGAAGCAAAGCAAACAACAAACCCACAGCACAGTCCTAAAAAAAGATGCTAAAATCAAAACTCCAAATCATTTGAAAATTCAAGACAATGTACATAACATGTTGATGGAAAGTATAATCAGATACCTGAAGAATAAGGGTTCCAATTGTAACTTGGCCATGAAGAGAATTAGTTGAATTTTTCTCCATGAGAAACTTCAGCACCTGTAGTTCATGAACATAAAACCAAAAATATCAAAAAGAAAAGCTATTGGAAATGGATCGATAAAAATTATATAGTACACTGAAATTACCACTGCAGTAGATGACATTGACAAAAATGCTCCTACAAATACCCCCTCTGAAAGTTTACCACCACATAACTGCAAACAGGACCCACTGAAAACATGTCACAGAGAGTATAAATGGAAACGATTCAAGGTGTATACGTCTAATACAAGTGTCTGTCTAACTTTCAAAGACACTACACTTTAATAAACATAAACTAAATGTACAGAATAAAGTAAAAAATAAAGCAGAGAATTTTTTTCCCAGAACCACATATAAAAAAAATATAACGCACCGACACTGTGATTCCGCACAAGAACATAAAAAGAAGAATTTGAACAAGGCCTCCCAGAACAGCAACTGATCGAACAACTCGAAGCTACATAGGAAGAGGAAAGGTGCCCATGAGCTTGTTATGTTTATATTTCAATTCATCATTAAGCAGTCAAAGACGTTGATCTCACCTTAGCAGTCGAGAACTCTAGACCCAACGCAAAGAGCAAGAATACCACACCAAACTGGGCGACTGTTTCAACCTGCATAAATAACCATGTTAACATAAAAGTGCGAAAATAATGTATATAAATAATCATCTCCACGCCAGTCTAACGCTAAACTTAGACACTTGTAAATTCAATTATTTTGAAGCGATCTAAGGTCTCTCTTATCCATGCCATATCACATGAGAAGAACCCAATTTGTTTTGACCCACAGAAGAAAAAAGGTTCCTAGTCAAAAACAAATCAGTACTCCTGTTTTGTGTATCATCTTAGTCAAAGATTATCGGAAGAAAATAGTTCTAACACTAATACTTAACTAACTAAACATTCGAGACCTTAGAAGGAATCTGTCAAACACATAACATACCTGGACCATCTCACTGATTAAGTTCAGTCCTCCAGGCCCGATGATAGATCCTGCTAGCAAATATCCAGTTATCACCTGCATAAGCATAGAATTATCCACAATCAGAAGATCAATACATCACACTGAACCAAATTATAATGATATGACTACGAGGAGCAAGAAAATCAGACCGGCTGTCCAGCACAAGCAAAGGCGATACCACCACAAGTTGCAGATACAATGACAACCACCAGGTCTGATATCAGTCTACATAACATAAGAAGTACAAATCAGATGACTAACTCATAACTGTTTTTTAAAGAATCATCCCGAACAGAAAACACACACAAAACTCACCTCAAGTCTAGCTGAAGTACTGGATATTTCGATTTGAAATTGGATATGATGAAGACATTGTCCTGTAACAACACCAAATTTTCAATGAAAGACCACAACAAAACAAAACCAGTCTCTATCTTCCTGTACGAAAAACTTACTTTTCGATCAATCAGAGTCGGTGTGTCCTCAGCTCTGTTATCATTGTCCAGGTTGAAAACATCGTGAAGTTTAAACCGCCTAAGAAAAATTAGATAACGCTTAATAGGTACCCAATTCTAGAACATTATGGAATGTCTTTTACAAAGCAAAAAAAACAAGAATTGAATAGTGTGTACTTGTCCTCCTTCGTCTCATTTTTCTTGGTTGACTTCACTCTGGCTACAGTTTCCAGAACAGCCTGATCACCACAAGGTTTACAACAATCCAGATTCAGATTATCTCAAATTATGCAAACCAATGAGAGTACACACTATTTTTCCGTAATTTTCTCGCATGTTTATCTCAAACTATGTTTCTATGAGTACCGCACCATAGCTGTTCCGTAACTTTCTCGCATGTTTCCATTCGAATTTAACTATATGTGGCAGAGGAATCGATCCCAACTTACCATGAGTAACTAAGAAAGGTTACACAATCTAAGAAAACTTCAACTAGAAAACATGTATTCTTGTGTTTACCGAATCTAAAACAAGCCTTGACTATGACTAATGACTCCAAACAAAATAGCTACACATGAGACACTGCATTATACGAACCTGCTGTCCAGCTACACTGTTGTTGAAGCTTCCAGGATCAGCCACTGCAATCGATAATAACCACATGATGAAGATTATTTAGCAAAGGCTAACAAGAGATGGATCTACACTATCCATTTCAGGAAACGGATCAGAAACTAAATCTCGTAGTTTATGTATTCTCGATCTGGTAAAATCATACTATTTCACATTGTGAGATCGTAATCAATCCGAGTTCCGAATCATCTATAAATCACGGATCCAGTTCAGGATCTATCTAATCAAACACTAACGGAGAAGCTCTAAAACTACTATAGTATCCATGGCCACTTAAACCTTCCTAGATTCTCGGATAGAGATAAGCACACTACCTTCACTCTGATCGCTTTCGTTGAACTCCTTCTCCAGCGCGCGATCGATGATGTCGGCGAAGCTACCTTCCTTAGGCTTACTCAGAGAAGAAGCGTTGAGAGATGATGCGTCGGAGGAGTTGCCGACGGTTTCTTCAAACAGATCCGGATCAGGGAGAGCGCGGGGAAACGCGACGGAGAGGGAGAGTGAGAGTGAGAGTAAGAGGAGAGCGAGTTCAAAGGAGGAGAGCAAGGATCTTCTTCTTCTTCTTCTTCCTCCTCCTTCCACCATGGCAGAAGAACTGAATCTGGGGCGTGATTAAACCGGTACCGGTTTGCGAGTGGTTTCGTCGATCCACAGAGTGTGCAAGTGGTGGGTGGGAGAGAGAAGATTTGCAGTTGGAGTGGTCAACAACTCAGTCCATACATGTAAAGATGGGCTTATATATATATACTGTGTTTATTTGAAAGTTAATATGCGATGTTTTTGTGTTATTTGGTTTTGGATTATACAAACTGCAGCATGTGGCAGATGAATGATGGGGTTACATGGGGGTATACACATCTATCGTTTTTTTCTAATCGAGCCACTCAGACATCTATCTAATTATTGGTTTCGATTAGGACAACACATCTTACATATTTTCAACTAATTTCGGAAAATTCCACGCCACAATCAATGTGACTCTTTTAGGATTTTATATTTTCAAACGTATAAATTTCATGCTTTTAAAAGATAAACATTAGTTTGGATCGATAATGGTAGTGTAAGTGGCTTAGGGTGGAGTCTTAAGGACTAAATGGGTTCTGAATGGATCGGACTACGGACGTGTAGGAGGACTATCAGCTCTGCATGCTGAGATGGAAGACCTACTGTGGGCAGTCTCATATATGAGAGATTTGAGGATGACTTCGATACGGATTGAGACAGACTGTTTGGATCTAGTGGACATGTCTACTAGACTGGAGGACTGGCCGGCTTTCGCGACGGATATCGAGATGTTTCAGCGACTACGGGAGGATTTCGTGGATGTGAGTCTGTCTCATATCCCACGGGATAGAAATGGACGAGCGGATGCATTGGCTAAGGAAATAAGGAATATAAGTTTTTCATTTTCCCATATAGATCAGATCCGGCCATACGGAGTTTCTCCTTAGAGAATCGACTCGACTGATCACCACTTGGTCTAGTGCAAATGGGCGGCCGACACAAAAAAAAAAAAAAAAAAAAGATAAACATTAGTATTTGGTTTATATATAAAATTTCACACATTATTTAGTTTTTATTTTTTTGGTCAAACACACATTAGTTATTTACTCCCACTGCTTTAGAATGATGTATATTCTAGAATTTTTAAACTTATTAAAAAAGTACGTAAAATTTTGTAATAAATATATTATTTTATGTGTTTATCTATTTTTTTCATAATTTTTAACCATTCAAAATTTAATAAATATAATTAATATCTCTGAAATTTACAATTTGTCATTATTATTTACATTAAAAATGTAAAATATAGATTTTTCAGAAACAACTTTTTTTCTAAAACATGAATATTTGTTTATTCACGAGATTATGAACTAGTTTAACCTGTAAAGTTCATATTTTGGACTTTCACCAAAGGCCCAATTATCATGTCCACTTACGCTGATTTTTTTCGAAACCCAACAAATATTCGTTACAATATAAAGCCCAATTGGTTAAAGTTAATAGTTTAAAACCGGACCGAGAAGATGAACCGGAAATTAGAAAAAGAAAACAAGTATATATTCTATTCGGGAGAGACGATCATCAGATTATTCCTCTCTCTCTCTCTCTCTCCGTCTCCGACAACTCCATCGTGTCTAGCTTTTGACAAGAATGGCGGACAAACCAAGCAGAGCACTTGTTTTGTACGGAGACGGCTTGGCTCGATCCGTCGACCCGTCGAATACTCACATCCATTCTCTCGCTTCCGTCGCTACTTGCGGCTTCTTGAGCCTCCCTCATGCACCTCCAGGTCCCTCTCACTCTCTCTCTCCCTTACTCTCTTAATAAATAAATTGGATTACTTTCATTGATTCTTCAAACAATCTCGATCATTATCTCTAGTTTCGATCCTTTTATGGGTCTAGTGTTGATCAGAATCGAACCGGATCAGACCTGAGAATCATTTGATTCCGTGAGCCACTTAAGATCCGTCTGATTAAAAGGACGGCAACTTTCCTACAAGAGTTGCGAAAGTGCTTTTGGATTTACTCTTACTTCCACTTGAATTTGATTTTCTCTTGTATTGAGAGGTCAACATAGAATTGAAGAAACAACTTTTTTGTTACATTGTTTAAACTCTACTGTTCTGCTATTTGATATTCACTCTCTATGTGTGTTTTTCCATTGCATCAGAATCTGAGAACGAAAGAATAGTTCGAGAATTCTCCCATCTGCTTGATGCATCAGAAGCTTATACTATAGCTGTCAGATATATACCTTCACTCTCTCATAAACATTAACTTTTTACACAGATAATCAACGTTATATTATTGATATTTTTACATAGTTTTTGTTCAGACACTAGAGGTTAACCAATGTTTTTTTTTTGTAACAGAGTGGATTAAAAGCTAAGGGAAGTGAAGATAAAATCTCAACTTTGTCCGAAAGGTTTGGCCTTTCTCTATTTTGTATAGTCTTAGTACTGTTTTTGGGTAATCATTGTCCGTAAACATCTACATGATGATATGCTATTTTTTTGCAATAATATCGTTGACACAAATAACATGGTGCAGGTTTATGGGACTCAAGGGTGCTTTAGTAACAGACAGTTCTTCTCTGACTTCTTTCGGGAAACTGATTGGCTTAGATGTATTACAACTCAGTGAAATATGCCAAAAGAGTGATGATTCTTTTCCTTCTGATGCCACAGCAACTGAGTTACTGAAACTGCTTGGATTTGAAGGAGGAAAGTGCTTGGATGTGACCCTATTTGACTCGGTTTTTGTGCATATAGATGGTGATAATGTTGGAATGATCGACTCTTTGATTGGTAGTATTATGAGAATGGCTCAGCCTGGCTCAGAGATTGCACCTCGCTTGCATATCTCTGTTGTTCTCAGCTACGGTTTTGTCACAGACAAGGATGTTTCAGTTTTTAATGTCAAGACTTCACAAGAAGGTATGAACCTGGCTTTTCAAGGACTAGTCCCGCGCCAGAGCTACACCATGCGAGGTGAAAAGACACGAGATGATGTTCGGTAAGAAATTCAATATCTCATTTCTGGTGCTCAAACCCATAAGAATCTGATTAAAGCTTTTCTGAAGTTATCGTTTCGTTTGTGACATACAGGGACTACTGCCCTATGTTGGTAGCTCAGTGGCAAGATGCAGTGACCAGGAAAGACTTAGTTGATACATTATCTTTCGAAGCTCTTAAAAAGGTATGATTACTAAACTTAATACAAGTTCATCTGTAATGTTAGTACATCTACATGGTTTGTCTCAACCTTTCTTTTGTTCATTGTAGCTCTCTGGAAATCTAGTTATACCGGCTGATCGGTTCATCCACGAAGTTGCTTTTAAACTTTGGAAGGCCCCAAAATATGGAGCTTAAACAAAACAAACGGTATTTTTATTGTAATCATCATCTAAGCCCTGATGAATAACATGCTCAACTTTACATAAAAGTTCAGAAATAAAGATGTTATGTTTCTTCTAATTTTCTCATCTTGTTATCCAGTTTTATACACACAAAATAACAGAGATTTAACCATTGTTGGTCGTTGCTATATATATATACTATGGATAGTTCCAACCGTTGCATAGATTTGATATAAAGATTATAGAACCTATTTAACCGGATAGTAATTAGTACCACCAATCCAAGCCAGTCTCAGATCATCTTCATAAACCCTTTGGCCTTTATCATCCCTTGAGATCTTCCTAAGATACAACCCTTCTCTCTTCACCACCCAAATGCACTCGTCCTCATTCGGATCATCGCATTCCCACCTGAACTTCCTCTCTCCGGCGAAAACCGTTGCGGTCTGACCAGAAGGCGAGCTAAAGGAGGTGAAGAAAGTGCACTGAAAGTATGTGTAAAGGAATGGTATCTTGATGTAAACTGGCTTGAAGGACCAGCTTTTGGATTCTCCCGGTTTGAGATTTTGATTGCCTAATTTGTTAGTAGTTGACCAGCATGTGACCGTGAGGCTTTGGTTTCGTCCCGGGTATTTGGTGATCTCGTTTCTTACTTCGAACCTAGCTGCTGATGTTGTGGTTAGAAGACATGATGATGCGATGAGAAGGCACCAAGTGAGTGTGGTGGTTAGTGGGAATCTGGAACTGATCTCGAATCCGAACTCCATTGCTCTGCTGTTCTGTTTTCTGAAAAGAAGAAGTGGTTTAGGGATTTTATATGAACGGGGAAGTGGTTTGTTTAAACAGCAAGCAACAGAAAAACGGTCGGGGTTTTGGTCGTTTCATGACAAGTGTAACAGAGTAACAAACTTCTGTTAAGGCATAACTCGTTTGCTTTGTTTTTTAAAACAGATACTGTAGTATGTTTTTTCCAAAGGACCGATCCTTACTATTCTAATCACAATTATCCACGAGATGTGGCACAATAATATTCAAATTTAGTGTCTTGTAATGATTAACTTATGTTTGAGAGGGTAGTATTAAACCAGAAACTAAAAGAAAAACAAATATAAATTATTCTGCAGTTAAAAAACTGTTTACAGGCTATTATTCTTTGTATACCAAGTTCTTTAACCTAATAAGATAACAACATTTGAGATAGGAAGAGAAACTTCCATTAAGCTCTCCAAAGCATTCTCCTAAAGAACAAGTCTTCACCTCTCATGGTAAAGCTTCTTTTTAGGTTTAGGGGGAGGGAGACTTTATCTTTCAAAAGGATCTCCAGCCTCAGCAGGATACTCAGGTGCAGCTACAGCTGCATCAATCTTTTCCTTTAGATTGAACTTCTTGGCTATCATCGGCCTTACATCTTCTGCTCCTATTAAGCTTTCTAGAAAAGGCAGCAAGTTAAGGAGTTCTTTATCTGACGGGTCATCAAACCAGCTCTCTATTGGCACACCATTCTCCACTTGGAACCCAAATGCCTACAACATTTCACAACAAATAATAACCCAACAGAGAAGATTTGTCACATATGTATGTTTCCAATGAGACAATATGGGTTAGGCTCTAGGGATGATGAAGAGTATAATACCTGTGGGGAGTTATCAACGATGATAACACGAGATAAATCACGCCCAAGGACAGACAAATCCTTTAGGTAGTTACCATCAAAGAAAACACAAGAGTCACGGTACACTCTATGGCGAAAGAGTTTCCTCTTAGGGTCAAGCACATTCAGAAGCTGCTCCGCATAGATACTTTGGCTAGCTGTAAATATAATGATCTCAAAGAGACGAGACACTCTCTCCATAAACTCTTTGAGGTGAGGACGGCAACGCACATACACCGTATGCTCTTCTTCATTAAAATGTACTGGGAATGTGAAATCCACCTCACCACACGGTTCTAGACTAGAGTGCACAAGAGTTTCTGTGCAACAGAAAAAAAAAGATATATATTACAGAAGATAGCAAAATATACAAAACCAACTCTTTTAGAACAGGTAAAGAAATAAACTTTCTGCTCTAAAACTTCTGCCACATGTTGTCTATAATTACATCCAATCTACATACTATAGTGGTGACAAAGATGATATAACAATCAAAATAACAAGTGAAAAAGTAGCCTTACCATCGAGGTCTAGGACAAGAGAGATAGGAGGGCAGCTTCTGGTCTGTTTAGGAAGCAAGACAGGCCTAAAAGTAGGGACAACAGAGGACAAGTTGGGCAAGTTCTTGATAAAGAGATACGGATCAAACTCATCGAACTCTTCATCCTCTTCATCCTCCACGTTGCATACAGAGGTAATAAGGGAATCTTGGCTACGCTCATCGACACACTCCAGCTTCGAGCTCGTCGTCGTCGTCATCGCTAAATAAATGCCAGAAACCGAATCCAAGTTACAATTCGAATCTTGAGCAAGCAAACGATCATAAGGGCTCTGTGCATCCAAATCTCGAGAAGAAGAAGCAGAGCCAGCGTCGTCCATTAAAAACCCCTATTTAACATAATGTAATTACTCCAAGTAACGTTTTTTCACATTCATACTCAACAGACAGTGCTTAAGAAGTACACATCTACAAGACTACAATTAGTGTTGTAAAGATTCAAACTTTAGAGAGATTGTGTTATCGCTATTACCTTGTAGGAGAACTATCTTTCACCCTGTAGCTACCGAGACGAGTTGTAGCTAGATTAGATCTCGAGTACGGTGAAACAGCAGAAGCTAGCTCGAACAGACACAACAGGATAATCTGGAGAAAGAAAGAAAAAAAACAGATCTCGGATAAGAAGAGGGGGCAAGCGGTAGATTTTAAAAATTTAAACTTTGGAGCCCAAAAGAAGCAAAATTTTGAAATCTTCCCGCTCGCGGAAAGTGACAGAAATCAAATATTTTTAATCTACAGAACCGAACCGGAAACCAAAACCCACGAAAATCGAAATTCCCATAAATTTTCCGAATTTTTCTAGGGATTTTCTTACAAAAACAGATGACAGTTCAATCTCTGTTTAAGAAACGAAGGTTTTGACTGAAAAATAACGATTCTTCTCCCTTATCTCCGCAAAAAAAGCAAACTTTCCAACGAAGCTTTCCACACCCAGATTCAATCACTTAAAATTCGAGCTTAGATAGAAGAAGAATCGGAGGGAGAACCTAAAACACAAACCCTAGAGACAGTAGAATTGATCGGAAAAAGGAAAAAGAAGTACCTCCGATCAATACGATTTTAGCTCTCTTCGTCTTCTCTCTCTCTTCGAAATATAAAAGAGGACATTATTTTCTGTAAATAAATGCGAGACGACTATAGTCTACACAATTGACTTAAGTTTGCAATTTAATCCCTCGTATTTTTATATGTTCTTATTAGTACCTCGATAGTTTTCGATTTATGAAAAAACCCATGAATTACGTGAGATCATGTAATACTCAAGGAAAAAATAATTAAATAATTAGTGGACTCCACAAAAAGTTAAGGATTCAATCTTTAAAATATTTTCTTAAATACTTTTTCTTAATGAATCCTTACACTATTTGCGGATCCTCACAATACGTGGTATCCCACAATTAGTTTTTATTTTTTAAAAATATGAAAAACAAATAATTAAGAAAAAAGGAAAAAAAATTAAGGACTCCAATGGGGTTCACGACATGCTCTAAGACCGGGAAAAGATGATGTCATCACTGGTTCGAAAGAGATAATTTATGGCTGACTAATAGAAATTGGAGTTGTGCTTACGTTATAGCTTTATTGGATTATAAGATACAACGTTTAGTATATATAAATAAATAAACTTTTAAGTATAGAAGATTATGTTTTATTCTATTTATAGATGTTCTTTATTTTTGTGGGTTCTATATGTTGGAACACTGTAATAATAATGGAATGGTGTTTCATATTATTCATGATGCTGCAGATTTGTTACCAAACCCAAACACATCAACTTGAATGTGGAGAAATTGCTACCAAGTTTTGAGTAGAGCTTAATTGCTAATCTTGTCTTGGTTCGTTCATGTTTATTTAATACTTATATTTGGCTTTTTCAAATCAAGTATTCATTTTATCAAGTATCCCAAAAGAAAAATTAACGAGTGTTTTTATAAATAATCAGTATCTTTTACTGATAATAAATATTTTATCTAACAAATAATAGGAAAAAATAATAAGACAAACATCTTTAGAAAATGTATATATATATATATATATTTTTTTTTTGATATTTAAATCGGATTTACAATTTTACTTGACAATATCAAATACTTGACTTTTTAATATGGATACAAGACAAATAATCAGTACAATATACCAAGTAATCATGCTCATCTCTAGTTGTCGTCTGGCAACTTTAAGACATTGGTTCAGAGAGGTTGGTTTCACAAACATTGAGTTATTAAAATAATATATTAGAAACGTAAGGAGTTAAATTGCAAAATCACACCGTAAAATATATAATACGACAACGTTTGATAGTCATCGTCAACTTCGACAACAATAGAAATTGATCGTCTTTCTCAAGCCCGTCAGGATCAAAGGAAAAAAAAAAGTATAGATTCCGCCGCACGTTGTTCAAATCGAAAATTCGGAAAGAAAAAAAAGAAAGCGACCCTCAATAAATCTTGCCTTTCTTTTTTCTTAACCTGGAAGAGAAACAGGGGAACACTTTCGTAAACATAAAGGTTGAACCTTTAAAGTAAGAGAGAGAGAGATTTTGATGGTGTGGTTGACGAATCAACAGATCGGGACATGGAAAAGGAAACGAATTTTGATTGGATCGTTGTTCATCTGTTGGTTAATCTTAATGTTCATCACTCCCAAAGTTCCTCTTCATTCTTTCAGACATCATGTCTTCGCTGATAAACGCAATTTCATGGGTATCACTCTGTTTCTCACTCTTAAGTGACTCTCTCTCTGTGTTTCTCCGCATGTGTGTAATAAAGACAGGTGCTTTATGTAACAGGAGTGCCAAATACATTGAATGTGATGACCAACTTTCCTTTTCTTATTATTGGTGTTCTTGGTTTCGTTCTTTGCCTTGGAGGAAGTTTCTTTAATATCAGGTTCCCTTTCTCTCTCTTTTCTTTTAAAAAAAAAATATATATATTTGAGCTCTTTTCTGATTGCTCAATTATGCATTAAATGCAGTTTGAAAGGTGAGATCTGGGGTTGGACACTGTTCTACGCAAGCGTTTCAAGCTTGGCCTTTGGCTCTGCTTATTATCATCTCAAACCTGATGACACTAGAATCGTCTGGGACACTTTACCTGTTCGTTTTCTCACTAATCACTCTGCTTTAGTTTAGTATCTTCTCTTTTTAGTCTATGGAATGAGTCATATTCTAATTTGTGCATAGCTGTTTCTTGATTAATGACTGTGATTGTAGATATTAATTAATTAACTCTAGATATGGAAAGAAGCTTACATGATTGCAGATTCTATGAGTAGATTAGATATTTAATTAGCTTGTTTGTACACGCACATTGTAAACACAAACGTCTAGAATCTTCTTATAGCTAGTGGAAAGAAGCCTAGACGAACCTTCTTACAGATTTTTAGATGGAAAAGTTGTGGTTTTATGTCTGGTTGAATGATTATGGTTGGTTATGAAGTGCTGTTTCTTGATTAACGACGGTACTTTGCAGATATTGATTGCGTGTTCATCGCTTTTCTCTAGTTTTTTGGTTGAGAGAGCGGGGGAGAAAGTAGGATTGAGTTGTCTCTTCTTGCTTCTGTTCATATCATTTCTCAGCGTTGCTTACGCCAGGTAACATTAAAACCGAAACATTACCTTTTTATACATATTTTCATGATTTTTAGGCAGGTTCAGATTGAAGTTATTATATGTGTCTTAGTTGATGGCAGTGTGTTTAATGATCTCCGGTTATGCATGACGTTCCAGTTGATTCCATGCCTGGCGATTCCCATCATGACCGTTTTGTTACCTCCCAAGTATACTCACTCTAGGTTCTGGCTCTTGGCTTCAGGTTTTTACTCAAAAAACTCTTTTGAGGTTGTCTTGTTAGAGAATTCACTCTCTTCTGATATCTGGTTCATTGTGAATGCAGCGGCTCACGCATTTTCCAAGATCGAAGGACTTGCAGACAGCAAAATATACAATGCGAATGGGTATATCATCAGCGGCCATTCACTGGGTCATTTGTGTTCAGCATTGGCTATGCTTTTACTTACCATCATGCTTTTGTATAGAAGCATTCGGTTTCAGAGGTAACTTTTTCTAACCGCGTCTTTCGTTCTTTGAGTTGTTTAAAGACCTGAGACTATTCTTTATTCTTGTGTGTTGTGTTTGGTGAAATTCAAAAACAGATTATGTGATCACAAAGGCCATCCTTGACGTCCATTGATGACTAGTCTTTACCTCAAATTTTGTAATTCATAATCATTCTGTATTCTTCAACAGCAGATTTTGTTGGATTATTAAGTAAATGTTGATGGCTTACTAATAAAAATTTGATTTAGCATTTAAGTTTAGTGTACTCTTTTGTGTGTGGTACAATGTAGTAACTAGGAACAACCAAACGAACAAAAACACAGTTCTCTGTGTTCTTTTTCTTATTCATCACCTTTATTGAAGACTTAGGATTAAACATGTAATATGAAAGTCTCAACACAGCAATAGCATTACAGTAGTGATTCTGAATAACCAAATAGTTATACTGTAACAGCAACAAACAATGATGAATGGAACTCTATAGACCTTCAAAGAAATGCAAATGGTCATCGAATGTCTCAGCATGCCTGATCTTAGTGATGGACCCATCATCTTCAACCTACAAAAACACACACAAATTAATCTTATATTACTCCATATAGAAAGCACTCATGGACATTTCTCTTCAGTCTTTGATTAAGCTAAGACTTCTCCAGAACACAACAACAAGAAAATGTATGTTTACCCAGTATTCCGGAGGACGCATCTTGAGATTGTAAGTGGAAGCCATGCTCATACAGTATGCACCAGCATCATGAACAACAAGACCAGCTCCCTGTGACAAATACTCATTAGATTTCACATTACTTGAGAGCTTTCAAACAGAAGCAGATCCTTATTCTCACCTTTGGAGGAGTAGGAAGCTCTCTGTCTTTTCCCAAGAAATCAGCAGATTCACAAACAGGACCAACTACGTCAAACTTGGAAACCTCTGCTTCAGGTGCTGGAGGAGAGACCAACTCAATGTGCTGTTGCGTTATGAGAAACAAGAACAGGACGATGTTCAGCTATTATTCCAAGGGGACAACCTACAACAGAGATACAAACATATTTGGTCATATTACCTGATAGGCATCATAAAGACTAGGACGGATTAGCTCAGCCATACTTCCATCTATCACTATGAAGTTTTTAGTTCCATTCGTCTTCACACCAGTTACATGGTTGACGAAACAGCACGTGTTTGCTATCAATGACCTCCCTGGCTCTATTATTAGATTCAGGTCTCGTGACAGAACTAGCTCTCTTACCTTAAAAACATCAAAGACTGTAAGAATTCTACTAATTTCAGTTTCTTCTAAGATCAGATGAAAGAGAGAGTTCTGGGATGTTGTTCTTACGGTGTTGATGAGATCCATGGGTGTAGGAAGGACAGCACCGGCATGGTAATAATCTATCCCTAAACCACCACCAATGTTCAAGTAACTAACTTCAAAGCCTTGACGCCTGATTTCATCTATGTATTCCACCATGAGAACCGCAGCATCTCTGAATATATCCACCTGAAATTAAAAAAAAACATAAACGAATATGAGCTCAAGTAAACATGTGAAACATGAATAGAGATGAATCCATATCTGATTACATAGGGCAAGAATACATAACATAGGAAGTACTATAATACCTTTGTAATGGTAGAGCCAAGATGGCAATGCGCTCCAACAAGCTTGAGCTCGTTGGGATGTGCCTTGACCTCATCAAGAAACCACTGAAGCTTCTCGTTCCTGATACCGAACTTTGAGTTCTTGTTCCCGGTAGCTACATATGGATGCACCTGAACAAATGATAACAAACAGAAACACTCATATCCATATCTCTGTAGAAAGATCTATTATGCTAACAAGAAACTAGAACATAAAGCATACCTGAGGATCCACATCAGGATTGATACGCAGCAGAACATTAACCTGCTTACCAGAGATTCTAGAAGCTTCCACAATATTTTCCAAGTCAAACTCACTATCAACATTTACAAAAACTCCTTCTTGAGCAGCTAAAACTAAATCCTCCAACAGCTTCCCATTTCCATTGAAAATACACCTATTCATTTCATAAAGCAAATACATAACAAGTCAATAAATATTCTAACTTTATATTATGGGATAAAAAAAGGGAAAAACTTTTTACTTTGTGGGATCGAAACCAGCAAGAAGAGCAAGTCTAAGCTCGTTCCCACTAACTAGCACAGCACCACATCCTTTACTCCTCAAATGCTCCAAGATCTTGAGGTTGTTATTAGCTTTAATAGCGTAGCCAATGACTGATCTCACACCTTCCAAGGCCTCTTTGTAAGCCTCAACGTTCCTTGTGATCTGTGGCTTGCTGTACAAGTAGAAGGGTCTCCTCTCAACCTTCTCCATGATATCTTCAACCTTTGTTCCCTCGCAGTAGAGGAATCCATCTGAGGATTTCTTGAAACAGTGTTTGAAGGCATCCTTCGTCGGTGGTGTTTTCACCGAGTTTTGGGAGGCGCCGGCGGCGGCTTTGATGGAGAGGCGGTTAAGTGGTTTCAAGGTGGATTTAAGAGACAGAACCGGGATTCTTGATTGGTTATATTGGTGTCGGTTTAGGTTTAGGCGGAGGGATGGAGGTTGAGAGAAGAGCTGAGTAGCTGACGCCATGGCTATTGTGAGCGTTTGGAAGTGAGACTGAACAGTGTACGGCGCTGGAACTAGGGTTTTGTCAAAGAATTAAGTTACACGTGACCTTGTCGGGTCCGGTTTTGGATGACCTGGAGGGGTGATAGTTGAACCGGTGGTCTGCTATGTAATTTGTAATTTGAACAAAAAAAAAGACGGAGTCATGGAACAAACGGAAGAGTGCGATTAGTACGGGAAATCCAGTTTAAAGCCTTGTCGGAAAATATATGAACAAATGTCTAATTTTATCAGATGTTCAACAACTATACAAAATTTATAGCCTAGCCCAGGGTTAAGGCCCATACTATTTTTTTTAATGTTTTTTATCCTTTTAATTAATTAAAAAATCAAGTTAAAAAAAAAAACAAAATAAACCAAACGAACCAAGAACAAATCGTCGGTTTTGTGCTGGTTAGTGAACTCAAAAAGACCCATATTCTTCCCCTAATTCGAAATCTAGGGTTCATAATTTCGTTTTCATACAAAGAAACAGAGAGAGAGAGGGAGAGAGAGAGAGATGGAATTGGGAGGAGGAAGTAATCATAATCGAAGGGGAAAGGCGATTCAAGGCAATGTGGTTTGCTTTTGCGGATTGCCGGCGAAGATAGCTCAGGCTTGGACAGACCAAAATCCGGGTCGAAGATTCTATGGGTGTGTACGATATAAGGTATAAGAAGTTGTAATCTGTTCATAATTTCGAGTTATTTTGGTTGTTAATTTTGTCAATGTTGTAGCGTGGAGATGAATGCAAGTTTTTTCAATGGTTTGATGAGGAAGAGCCTTATGGGTGGCAAAAACAAGCTTTGATTGAAGCTAGAAACGACATTCTTGTGAAGAAGAACACTATTGCGAAATTGGAGAAGAAAATTGTTCTTGGTTCGTTCGGTTTATTTTGTTTTTTGTTTTAACTTGATTTTTTAATTAATTACAGTTTGGCCCCAAAACCTTTGATTAGAATCAATTAAACCCGGTCGTGATGTTGGCACCATATAATTATTAAGTTTGTATATGTGGCATGTATTTAAATAAACTTTGCGTAGTTCTTGACACATTCTGAAACCTGGGATGGTTACCACCATATTAGCCAATACTTCGTGTAGCTGGCAAACTTTTTTCCTATTATTAACTGAATATAACATTATAACAACATGATAATGCTTGTATATCTTAATTTTATATATAATTGATTTCGGCTTTTGAAAATAATATCATTTTATTATAAAATTTTAAAATTAAAATATAAAATCGATTTTAAATAAATATTAATCAAACAAAAACATTTGTATAAAGATAATTTTAATTATATAATTAAATATAAGATATTAAAAAATGGAACGGTTCAAGTTACTAATACCTTTAATAAATTTATATATTTATATATAAATTAGTTAAATACAAATTTTATGTTAGTGATAGAAATTTATATGTTATTATATTAGTTAATTTACTATAAATTAATAAGATAATTATCCACATTCATGCATATAAAACATAAGATATATTATAAAATATTATACAGTTATCTTGGAATAATCTTTTTATTATGAAAAATAAAAAATGTAAGTTATAAAACAATTTAAAATTAAATATTAAGAAAAAATATAAATATATTTTTTAAAAAAAATTATTTTGTGAATGTTTCTCAACAATATAATAAGCATATAGATTTTGATGAAAATTCATATAAAATATTTTAATGTTTGGTTTAGGTTTTTTTAAAATATATAAAAAATAACTTATAATATTGTTTTAGAATTAATAAAACAAAAAATAATAGATTTTCGTAAGAAGATTATTTGCGAAGTGATTTTTCGCAACAGAGCTCTCACGTTAAAAGTTAGAGTGGTTAATATCTATTTTACCCTTAATAAAAATTTTATATATAACTAATTTTATAATAAAAAACGAAAATAAAAAAATAAAATTAGATTAGTATGTTATTATCTTAGATAACTTAGAATAATAATATAATAAATTTATAAAAAAAATCAAAAATAAGATAATTCTTATATATGTTATTATTATCTGAATATAACATTATAACAATATGATAATGCTTATATATCTTAATTTTATATATAATTGATTTCGGCTTTTGAAAATAATATCATTCTATTATAAAATTTTAAAATTAAAATATAAAAATCGATTTTAAATAAATATTAATCAAACAAAAACATTTGTATAAAGATACTTTTAATTATATATTTAAATATTAGATATTAAAAATGGAACGGTTCAAGTTACTAATACCTTTAATAAAATTTATATATTTATATATAAATTAGTTAAATTTGAATTTTATGTTAGTGATAGAAATGTATATGTTATTATATTAGTTAATTTACTATAAATTAATAAGATAATTATCCACATTCATGCATATTTAAAACATAAGATATATTATAGAATATTATAAAGTTATCTGGAAATAATATTTTATTATGAAAAGTAAAAATGCAAGTTATAAAACAATTTAAAATTAAATATTTTCAAAAAATATAAATATATTTTCAAAAATCGAGAAAGAACCCAAAAAAAAAAATGGTGAAATTATCAAAATGATCATGATGCTTCCTTTTAAAAACTCCACTTCCAGACCTTGACACTAAGATCAGACTTACACTTAGTTTGTTTCGAAGTTGCCACGGTCGGAACTTTACCTCTAGGTACTGTCCCTTCGAACCCTCCACACGTCACTTTAATCTCCACTCCTTCACTCTTCACCTTCCCCATCTGCACTCTCACCTTCGTCCTCATCTCAATCCCCAACCCCAAACGCACCCGTCTTTAAACGCCGAGCTTCATCCGGCTCCAACTCACGGCTCCAACGTCGCGATCACGCCTCGAAACGTCGTCTTTCAAATCTCTAGAAACACAAAGGATTATAAGAACAACTTTTCTTATTAGCTTTAGAAACTACTCAAAACTAAAGCTCACAATATGTTTCTCTTAGATCATTTAATCTATTCTCTTAGATCTTATGGAACACCTCTCCATAGATCTCTATTTATATGCAAGATAATTCCCTTGAACATGTGGGATATGGAAAACACAAACCTAATCTAATAGAAAACTTCCTTTTCCTATTTCTAGATTTCCTTATTGTGTTTATCCTTAACATATTAAACATCCAATAATANAACCTAATCTAATAGAAAACTTCCTTTTCCTATTTCTAGATTTCCTTATTGTGTTTATCCTTAACATATTAAACATCCAATAATATGTTAAGTTTCCACAAGCTTGGAATTACCCAACAATCACCCCCTTAATTCCAACTTGAATTAGGGAGATCAATTTCTTGAACTCCGATTAAGCTCCTCATTTGCTTGAACTTAAACTTCAAGTAATCATCTTTCACCACACGATAATATGCGAATCCACCCATTGTATTCACATCTTTCTCAAGGTTAGACTGGATGTTTTCCTCACTTTTGTATCGCCTCTTCTTAGAATTGGTCCAGTTCTTGTAGAACCTTCTCCTGACCTCTTCACTTAAGTTGCGATGAGTCTTGCAGCTGAAACTCACTCTGGTCATGTCCGCCATCTTGCGTACGTGAGCTGTATTACACACTTTTGTCTTTGTGACTTTTGTTTTTGTGTCACATACGTGAGTCGTGTTACACGTCTTCATCTGTGTATCACATACCCCTACATGAGTTGTGTTACACGTTTCCATCTTTGTGTTACATACCTCTGTATGTTTAACACCAGCCGGTCTAACCACATACTCCACTGGTACATGTGTTGTAACACACGCTTTCATATGTGTGTCACACATGATTCCTTGAGCACTTATCTCTGGTTCGTCTCCAGCTTTTGACAACTTGTAACTTGACTCCATTGGAACTTGAGTCGAGTTACACACTTCCATATCTGTGTCACACAAGATTCCGTGAGCAGGACTCTCCTCCTTTATCTTGATTTCATCTGCTCCTTGAATCTTGTCGATCCACTTTAACCATGTAGGTTTAGCAGGCGGTCTATCTACAAGCTCCCACGTCTTGCTTCTTGTGATATCTTCCATCTCGACTAGAAGCTCCCACGTTTTGCTTCTTGTGATAGCTTCCATCTCGGCTACCATATCTTCAACCCATAAGTAGTTCGGCATCTTCAACTCAGCTGAGGTAAACTCTCCTCCTCTATCGATGCAGCCTATATTGGATTTAGCTGAGGCAAACTCTCCTCCTCTATCGGTGAGAAAGGTTCTGATGGGTTCCTTCAACCTTTTGAACCGATCGAATAACTCATGCTTCTTCTTCAATAGTATAGCCGGGAATTCATGTCTAATTGGCTTCTCTGTTAGACATGCGTTACACACGACATCTCTGTGTGTTACACTCAGGAATGAGTGTCTGTTTTGCTTCACTGCGTCACACACGCCTTCTTGGTGTGTTACACTCGCGAATGAGTGTATGATCTGCTTCACTGTGTCACACACGCCTTCTTCGTGTGTTACACGAGACATTCTTTTGACTAACGTCTGAAGTCTCATCCTCCTTACACGAACAGCTCCAAGGTGTCGTGACCTGATGGCGTTACATATGTCTTTAGAAGCGGCTTGTTCTCCCACCTGGAGAATCAAGCTTTCAGAAGCAACTTGTTCTCCCACCTGGAGAATCAAGTTTTCAGAAGTGGACTGAAACAAAAGAGAAATCGCAACATCGTTCTTCTTTTGATCATCCGAACTAGGTTCTATCGTGCCATGAACACGCATCATAACCTTCATCCTCATCGACAAAACGATATAGTTTGACGATGATAACATAGGACATTGGATGGATGTAGTTCCAAGGTCCTTCGTGCGTGGAGCCCTAGTCACGTCCGCCATCTTGCTCGCGTGTACTCTTGGTCACAAGCACCAGGATCGAAGCTTCACCTTAAGCTTAGATCGAGTCTCCAACCTGAGAAGCTCTGATACCAATTCAAATCCCTAGAAACAAAGGATTATAAGAACAACTTTTCTTATTAGCTTTAGAAACTACTCAAAACTAAAGCTCACAATGTTTCTCTTAGATCATTTAATCTATTCTCTTAGATCTTATGGAACACCTCTCCATAGATCTCTATTTATATGCAAGATAATTCCCTTGAACATGTGGGATATGGAAAACACAAACCTAATCTAATAGAAAACTTCCTTTTCCTATTTCTAGATTTCCTTATTGTGTTTATCCTTAACATATTAAACATCCAATAATANGATCTTATGGAACACCTCTCCATAGATCTCTATTTATATGCAAGATAATTCCCTTGAACATGTGGGATATGGAAAACACAAACCTAATCTAATAGAAAACTTCCTTTTCCTATTTCTAGATTTCCTTATTGTGTTTATCCTTAACATATTAAACATCCAATAATATGTTAAGTTTCCACAAGCTTGGAATTACCCAACAGTCTTATTCTTGTCATCACTGAAAAAGGCAGGAACAGTGCCGTTCGCGAGCGTCTCACCTGACTTCGCAGACTTGACGAGGACAGTGAAGGGATTGTAAGAGAAGGTTAAGTGGTGGTTAGGATTCTCTGAGAGTAGAGTGAAGTTGAAGAAGGAAGAGAGGTGAGAAACGGAAGTATCTGACGCCGTGGTGAGGTTAACGCGGTGGATTCGAAGAGATGAGACGGAGAAGGAGGGAGGACGAGGGTGGTAGATCACGTACATTGCGGTTGCGGCTATTGCGGTTGTGAGAGAGAGGAGGAGGAAGATTAAGATTGACCAGAAACAGCAGCGGCAGCAAACTCTCCGGCAGGTTGGCCGAGTTTGGTGGTGGTGATGGCGGCAGGAAAAATTATGTGAGTGCAGATACTCAGTAATTGATTAGGGGATAAGAAAGTGTCGATATGCTGCTCTGATTTCAACTATGTTAATCATTTATTTTCGTGCTCTCAGTTGGTTCTCTTCCTTGGCCTTGTGGCCGAGAAGCCTTCCAACGGCCCTATCTATTTGGTCATAACGCCAAGCAACCTTTCCGATCAACCTCCTTGACCTGACCTTACGGCCGAGCAAGCCTCACGTCTTTTCTCTTTGGCTCTTGGATGAACCTCACGAAACGGTTTGATCTCTTGCATTCAATAAACGCTTTACACAACATGCAGTAAGAATCTCCTTTCAAAAACTTGCTCTGTAAAACCTTACTATTCTTTTCCTCTTTAAGCGAGAACTAAGAAGCATCTCTTCCACAAATAGTTTACAAAAGATGAGTATTCACGTCAAATATTTATGTTATTACGCTGTGATGATGGATTCTACTTAATATACATGCCACTTTTCTTACGATATGATAGAACAAAGGAAAAAGTAAAAAGACATGTGTGACTGTGAAATCAGCTACTTCTGTTTTACTGAAAACATGGTTCTTCAGATATAGAGATATAGAGAGACAGAGAACATAGTGAATCAGATACGCACAATGCAAAACATCAAAACAACAACTAAAAACTTATAATGTGATAATCTGTCTGATGGTAAACAACAATAATTCGAATTATCTCAAATGATTTTAATCCAACCTTCTTTCTTTGCAGGCCTTCTAGTTTAGTTGGTTGATTTCCTCTTTGAGATTCTTCCCTTAGGTTTAAGAAAGCTATACAAAATAGGGAATATCAATACAAAATTAAATTTATTGATTCACTAAGACAAATATAGTATATCATTTTAATGTTGAGAAGATTACCTCTTTAACGACGTGTGGTGCTAATGCTTCTGCGTTTGGTTCGGCCAAAAGGGTTTACAAACCACTCTGGTTTGTAGAAAAACACCATGTATCCCATCGTGAATCCAAATGCAATACCAGGTATGAAACAAATCCCAGCTGCTATCCAACTTATCACCTCGTCTTTCCCATCTTCTTCTTCTTCCTCCTTTGACATTTCAGACTGTTGTGATCTTTTCCCGATGATATCTACACAAACTTGGTCAAGTGAAGTGCCATAAAGTCCCGGGTTGTTCTTGAAAGAGCTACAAGGCTGCGTTCGAAACTGAATACCCCCTGGTACTAGACCCACAAGCTGGTTATAAGAAAAGTTCATGTAAGCAAGGTACGAGAGGTTCCCTAGCTCTTGTGGAATTTCTCCCGTAAGCTTGTTTTTAGAAAGGTCCAGTGACTCAAGAGCCGAGAGGTTCCCCATAGATGACGGGATGTGGCCAGTGAAAGCATTGCTCGATAAGTTGAGCACATGAAGCTCTTTCAACAAACCAACGGACGATGGAATCACACCTTCGAATTCATTCTTTGAAAAGTCTAGCGCGGTGTAGATATATAAGATACGTACCAACTCCATCTCTACACCTTTATTCATCAAAACCATTGAATCGAAATAATAGCTTGTACCCATGTACTTTCTGTAAGATTGATCTCCATTTTTCCCAATAGAGTACATTGCTGTCCAGTTCACAAAGAAGTCCAACGGCAACTTTCCAGTGAAGTGATTATTCGATATGTCTATGATTCGAAGTTTAGCAAATCGGGTTTGATGTATCGGTCCGTGGAATGCATTGGAGCGAAGAACGAGAACTTGTAGCTCGGAGAGAGAACTCAACCAGTACGGAAACGTGTCGTTGAATAGGTTTCTTTCCACGTTCAAAACTTCCAGAACAGAGCTAGCGATCAAAGATCTTGGAAGCTTTCCCACTAGTTTGTTATGACCAACGTCCAAAGACTTTAGAATTGTAGATATAATCTTTGGAAGATGTCCACTGAGACAATTGTGTCTAAGATTCAGAGCTTGAAGAATACGTAACTTTCCGATACAACGTGGGAATGAACCGTTGAATCTGTTGTTGGATAAATCGAGAACGGTGAGAGAGCGCAACTCGCATATGAAACTGGGGATCCCGCCTGTGAAATTGTTGTTGGCGCCGGAAAAGTAATCGAGAGAAGATGGTTGCTGGAGTTTTTGCGGACTTTCGAAACTGGTGAAAGTGTTGTTGGAAAGATTCAGGTAATATAGAGTTGATAGCTCCCATAACCACCCAGGGACTTGGCCTTTGATTTTGTTGTTGGAGATGTCTAGTCTCCGCAAGTTGTGTTGGGTTCGTAGGAGCTCTGGAAACTCAGTGGTGATTCCGCATCCTGACAAGTACAACTCACTTAGATTTGAAACTGCGCTCCTGTCTTCCACCGTAACATGGTTTCCCGTCAGATTCAGATTATTTAGCCACTTGAAACGTGATAAGAGAGCGTTCAAGTCAATCGCAGTGGTGGTGTTCAAGTACGAGATGTCGAGGTCTGTGAGTGACTTGAGATTCCAGAGAATGCTAAGGCCAAATACTGAGCCTTGGGTGTTGAGATGAGAAAGGTCAAGTGCAAAAAGGTTGACTAATTTGGAGATGGATCTAGGAATTGATCCCATGAAGTTGTTGTTGCCAAGGCGTAAATCTATTATCTTCGATGATAATAAAGATACATTCCCAAAATCAAGAGTACCGTTTAGTTGGTTATCAACCAAATCAACGTAAGTCAAAGAAGGGATGGTAAAGAGGGAAGAAGGAAGAGTTCCAATAAAAGCGTTGCCACGTATGTAAAAGAACTCCAGGTTGGAGAGTGAGCTTATGTTAGGTGGAAGCATGCCTGTGAACTGGTTGTCATCGAGTGATAAAACAAACAATTTTGTTAGATTTAGTAGTGTAACAGGAAAGTTACCACTAAGGTTGTTGTCTTCGGCAGATAAGGTGGTGAGATGTTTCAATCTGCCGAAAGAAGGTGGGATTTCACCGACGAAACCGTTTGCTGAGATGTCGAGAAAGGTCAGACGTGAAAAATTTCCGAATGATGATGGAATTTCACCAGATAAATCGTTTTCACATATACTAAGAAAGGTGAGATGAGAAAGGTTTTCAAGTGAGGATAGAATTTCACCAACCAAGCGGTTAGCACCAAGGGTAAGATGGGTGAGATGTGAAAGGTTTCCAAGTGAGGATGGGATTTTACCAATAAGTTTGTTCTGGGAGAGATGGAGAGTGGTGAGGTTAGAGAGTTTTCCAAGTGAAGGTGGGATTTTGCCAAGAAGTCTGTTCCGGGAGAGATTGAGAATGGTGAGGTTAGAAATGTTTTCAAGTGAAGACGGGATTTCACCATTGAAATCATTATTTGAAAGATCAAGAGTGGTTAGCTTAGAAAGATTTCCAAGCGAAGATGGAACGTTACCACTGAAATGATTGTTTGAAAGGTCGAGAGTTGCTAAAAAAGGAAGGCGTTGAAGCCTCAAAATAGTACTTTTGGAGTTGAGCTGGCCAGAGATGCAGTTGCCACTAAGGTTCAGCTCAATCACATCCCCAAAACTGGCGTCACATCTGATACCGTCCCAAGAACAACAATCGCTGCTATTCACCCATGACACCGTCTTCGAAGACCCGTCAAAACAAGGCTTCTGAATCTGGAACTCGTTCTTCAACTCCAGAATTGCTTCCCTTTGTTCGGGATGGCACGAATGCCTAGCAGGAACCACAAACTCATCACGAAATAAGAATAGAAAACAAAACGAAATAGGAATGAGACTAATTGATTTCACTGAGCCTTTCATATTCTTTCACAGGAAAATATAAATTGTGAAGAACATATTTTCATGCCCGCATTTCTATATACATAATATCTCATTCTTCCCCACCACAAAATTCTTCTCTGGTTTACTAGTATGACTTTTCTCTCTTTCGGTAACGACGATCACGTCGTTGTATGGGACCCAATATGTCCCATTTCAAGGGTATAATAAAAACAAATATCTCATATTAAAAATTAAAAAATATTATAAATAGTATGTAAGATTCGATCAATCCAATTCAATTGGTCATAAATTTAATACTCATCTAATTTAATTTTAATTTGAAAGTTTATTAACTTAACAAATTGCACTTATCCTGTTTCCATCCAAACTATATTAATTTAGTCTCTTTACCTTGCATTACAATAGTTTTTATGAATACAAATATACAATTAAACCTTCGTATTAAAAAAATGAAAATTTGAATAATATAATCCCTTGAAATAAATACCTATTAGAAAGTGGCAATAAATGAAACATTACGTAGTTCATTAGTTGAGAACATAAATGTAACACTGTAAGGAATTGAGTACAAAAGAGCTGGAGATGGCAGTGACTGCATTTAGTTGAGAACAGAACAGAACAAACAAACAAACTAATAGTGAGGATTGAAAGTAAGATAGTGATATACAACACGTAAACAGCTACCTTAAACATGCATAACGAAAGAGACAATTTTGAAGGAAAAATGTGTTAAATGTTAGATGTTGTACCATATGATCTCTCACATAAGATCATTTATATACGAGAGCGTGCATATAAAAAAAGCCCATAATTTAAGAAATTAAAAGAGAAAAAGATAGGCCCAATAAAATGGTATTTGAGCCCCAACCTATGTCCTAAGCGTTTCTGCTTTTCTCTCCGGTTTCCGACAACACTTTTGTCTTGGTGGTATTATTATACCGCCGCGGAAATCAGATTCTCTCTCCATATCACTAACTTCAAAAGAAGCCCACTTTCGCTCCTTAAGAACATCGGAATATCATCGTAATCTATGGCGGAGAAGCTCGAGCCGGAAAAGGTTTTGTATTGTGGAGTCTGCTCTCTTCCAGCTGAATACTGCGAGTTCGGTCCAGATTTCGAGAGATGCAAGCCATGGCTCGTTGAAAACTCCCCCGATCTCTATCCTGATCTCCTTAAAGGTACCCCAACTTTCTTTATTTTATTTATTATCAAACCCTAATTTAATAAAAGCTTCCACCACTTCTCTGAGCTCGTTTTGATTTTAGATTGTCGGATTCTTGATTCAATCCCATTTGAAATATTTAACCTCTTAGATTATTATTAGTATTGTCTCAATTCTTTGAAGGGCTAAGAAATTCACACTTTGTCTTAAAACTGATTGATATACATTCCTGTCATGTCTTAATCAAATATCATGTCGGCACTTCCGTATTTTGGATTAGTTGTATCCTTTCTACTGGTTATGACGATGAGTTTTAATCTGGTTTAACAGAATTACTAATTAATATCATTTGATGTTGATTATTATTATTAATTGTGTGTATTTCAGAGGCTAATGAGAAGGCAGCAGATAATGTCTCTGATAAACTCCAGTCCGTGGGAATCTCTTCAGGTGGCGCTGATGGTGCTCCCTCTTCTTCTCAGACTGGTATGTATCCCTTCAGACCATTGCATGCGTTTACACATATTTGTTTACTGTACATTTCTATATACAGCTCAAACTATGTAATGCTTAGTCGCTGGAAGCATCTGTAATGTTTTCCTGGGGAGGACTGTTTGAATGAGAAATGTCTTTTCATAGTTAACTGATTTGTGTTGATGCTGCATATGTGGAAAAGATTTAGCTCTTTTCTTATTCTTCTTCTGAATTTTCTAACTTTGGTTTTCAAATTTATTTACAGGAGGGGGGACATCCAAGAAGGAGGAAGTGAAACGCCTTCCTGGGGGGAAACTAAAAAAGAAAGTGAGTAATCTTTCTTTCCTCCTCTTACCTATCTGGAATGTTACCAAGTTTTCATGGAAATTTTATAAAACAGACATACTTGGAAATTCCCGAATTCAATGGTCTACATTTTACTTTTTTACGATTCCCTTTTGTCTTTCATGCGAACCTTTTTTTGTCCAGTTGTGTAGTGTAATTATCTAATGCTTACGGATCGTAATATAGGATAGACAAGAAGTTATTATTGAGAAGGTTGTGCGCAACAAGCGCAAGTGTATCACCATTGTGAAAGGACTAGAACTCTTTGGTGAGTTGTTATTTGCTTCTTTTTTTGAGATATCTTTTAGTATTCTTATTGCCTGGATCAAACCTCATCCTTTTCACCATTTTGAATTTGTTTACCAGGGATAAAACTTAGTGATGCGTCTAAAAAACTTGGGAAGAAGTTTGCCACTGGAGCATCAGTTGTCAAGGTATGTAGCGAATATAGATTGCAAAAACTGAATATGAATTATGAGTTCTGTGCTTATTGGTATTTTAGAGTTTGTTACTGCTTTAGAGTTTAGACCTTCTTTTGGGGTCAAGAGAAAAGTATAGTGTCTAACTTCTTAAATACAACTTTTGACCCCTCACCGCATCAGCACCACTCTGTTTCCTTTTTATTCCACCGCATGTGCTCAGAGTTATCTATGCTTATGCGTTTCAGGGACCAACTGAAAAGGAGCAAATTGATGTCCAAGGAGATATAATCTATGACATTGTTGAATTCATTACAGACACCTGGCCCGACGTAACATAATATATCCTTCTCTTTTTTTGTTTATCGTATGAATAAATGACTGTTTCAGAATACTTCCTACAAACTCCTTTGACTGTTGCGTTGCCTATATCCAGGTACCTGAAAGATCCATTTTCTTCATTGAAGATGGAAAGAAGGTTCAAGCTGGTTGATGACCATCCTCTGTCCTGTTTTTTTTTTCTTTTTGGGCATGGCAGGTTCACGTAGACAAGCTAGTTTCATATTTCTCGCTTGTGTTTTTGAGGAAAACAATAGCGTGTAGTTGGATTATCATATACTATTTTCTTTCTCGGGTTGTGATAATTCCTGTCAGGTTTCTCCAAGCATCTCTGTTTTTTGACATTTAAAGTGTGCTTTGAAATGACGAATGTTTTCTTGGTATCCTGATCCATTTTCAGCTTTCACCATGTTAAAATGATGAATGATTTCTTGATCATGTAAGACCCAAGCATTGATGGTCGGCCTATTGTATAAACTAAATCATCCCGTAGAAGCCAAGTTTGACCTTATTATATTCAACTTTGTGTATAAACAACCAGAGAGTGCATCGTAATTGATATGAGAAGTTTATTACTCGTAAGAACCTTTGATGTTCTTTAACATCAATGAATCCATTCTCCTTGATTCTTGTAAAGTAGTCCTTACCAAGCCGCCTTACGATTCCTTTTGTCAAGAAAAAACAGTCCTGAGCTATTGACAACAGTGTGCAGTCACATCCTTGTACTTTGCTGCATAGCATACAAAAGCACCACACTACCAGCGGCAAAGTCTTCATTCTCAGAAGAGTATGTACCAATAACATAACAATCATGGCCTCCAAAACCGTCCTGAGATATTGACAACAGTCTCCACATCCTTGTACTTTGCTTGCGTCACAAGACACCGGGATGTAGGAATGCCCTGATTTTTTCCATGTTGCCATTACCGGTAAAGAAGGGGGTAGAGACTTCTGTGAACAATCCTGGTGTGAAACATGTCTAGTGAGTTTTGGAGGCCATGATTGTTATGTTATTGGTACATATATACTCTTCTGAGAAGTGAACTCTTCATCAGCTCCTTCAATAAGCCACAGTTTATGATTCTTTATGTATTTCGGCGAATTCTGATGCTTCTTTACATGCATGAAAGACACAAAAGTTCACATCCTTGCTGCATACAAAAGCACCACACTCCCACCTACCAACAACAACAAAAAACCCATTCTTATTACCTTTTTTTCTAAAAAGCATGAGATCCACCTTAGTTTTAAGCTTTTTAGACCTTTATTTACTATGTCCCATGAGTGCAGAACCTTCACGGTTTTCCCCACGCAAGTGTTGCAGAACAGAGCGAAAATATTCAGCTTCACGGCGATAGTTACCATACTGAAATGATCCTTGGCTTTCCCTGAAGAAGCCCATAAACATGAGTAAACTAAGCAACATAAGGCCTGTTCGTTTGGCAGCCGCAGGTAGCGGCGGCTGCGGCTGCGGCTATCTTTTTCTTTTTTTTTGTTCGTTTGATTGCCGCCACTTCCTGCGTCTAGACGCCGCGTTTGACGCCACCATCCGCGTTTGACGCCGAAAAACCTAGCGGCTGCGACGTAAATGATGCGGCTAGAAAGATAATTTACGTTTTTGGCCTTAACATCATTTAGTATTTACAAAATAAACCTAATCCTAATAGACGCAGCCGCAACTCATCTTCCATTTGACGCAGATCTCCATCGATCTCGATTCTCGTCTCTTCTTCTTCTCCCATTCAAAGCAGAGCTTCGAAGACCCATCTCAGACCATGATGAGCTCTCCTCCACTCACCACGAGCTCTCTCTCTTCCGCTTCGAAGACCCATCTCCTCCACGAGCTTTCTCCATCTCTCATCTCCGGCTCGAACTCTCTCATCTCCGACTCGAGTTCTCTCTCCTCTGAAGCTCTCTCTCGTCTCTTCTCTGAAGCTCTCTCTCGTCTTTTTAGGCAGAAAACACAAAATTGGTTATGTGCTCTGTTTTGTATTTTTTTTTGTGATGGTTTGGTGTTCGTTTCTTTTTCTACGTGTGTAGAGATGAGTGATATATAGAGATGGTGACCTTCGAATTCTGACCTTTGTGCTCTCTTTCCAAGTGGGTTTAAGTCACAAAACGTGTACTGTCATTTGCCAGCTTCTAATCTTTTGGTGTAATCGCATTTGTGAATGTGATGTTTTAGTTGAGCTTGGTTGCTAGTACATAGAGGTCTGATTATTAACACTTTTGCTTCAGCTTCAGAAACATTTTCAAGTAAAGATAAACATGTGAATCGTTGGTATTCATTCTTTGGCTTATTACTTTATGGTATTTGGTGTTGCTTCTACTGGTTTGAATCTTGTTTTCTCTGTCATAAGTTATATTTGTTAGGCTGACACTTGCATGGTTAACTGGAATAATCCTTCTCACTGCAACTCTCCTTGGGGTAAGTACACTTATCCTCTCTTCAATCAATGAGCTATTGAGCAGTGTAGAGTTGAATGTTACCACTGAAGTGTCCTGTTGAAGAATCATCATAGTTTGTATTAGAGATTTGTAGCTTAGTATTGAAAGTATTGACAGTCACACTCTCATGGTTGTTGCAGGTGTATTTCCTTATGTACATGAGTTTGACAAAGAAACACTCCTATATTCAAACGTGAAGCTCGATTAACACATAAAATAGTGCAAAAGGTCAAGTGGTCACCGATGAATAGTCACATTGATCTTTTTCATCTTTGTGTGTATTAAGCCAGTCTTATTTAAATGTTTTAAAAGACGGATGACACTTTTGTGACCAGACCAGTTGATGTGTTTCTGTGTATATTGCCATAAGGTTGAATTTTTATGTTTCAATTTACCTTTGATGAATATCTTGATGTTTAATTATTAAACAATGACACAAAAATATCATTACAAAAATCAAGACCAAAGCAAAAAAAGATAATTAAATGAATAAAATTTTTGACTGAAAATGTGTGTCTAAAACCTAATAACATTTTAAACACACACACAAATATATATTTTAAACAAAGATATATATATATATTTTTCAATAAAATTTTTAAAAATAGACAAATCCCGCATTTTCAAGTGCGGGTCAAAATCTAGTTATCTTCAAAAGCGCGGGTATATTTTTACCATTTTGATAAAATTTATTTAAGTTAATTATTCAAACACAAAAAATTTAAAATTGTTTTATTAATATTTAAAAAAGTTCTATTATAATGTTTGATTTTCACGTAATGTTTCCATATCCGACCCAGATCCATAGTTGAACCGGTACATCCGGCAATTTTTATATAATCCAGTTAAGATTTAATTAAAAATTTACTAATTTATAATTTAACCCAATCTGGTATATATATTAAAACCCGCTATTAATCTGTATTATGATATCTGTTGATCCGTTAAATAACCCCACAAAAATTGAATATTTTTAAAAATTTGTTAAATAATTCATATTTTTAATATTAAAGAAAATTGATTTTTTGTAACTTCTTTAATAAAAAATTTCGTGTCATTTGAAAAAATAAAACAATGGCAATAGAAAAAAAAACACAATATTGAAATATTTTTATTTATGATATTGAAATATTTTTTTATTTAACACTTGATATATTTGAGTAAAATTTATTATTAATTAAATAAAATATTTTAATGGATATAAATATATTTAAATTATATTTTCTTTAAAAATTTATTAGCAATTAAATATAATATTTTGCTGGATGTAAAATATATTTAAACTGCATTCTATTTAATTAAAATAAATTTTGACAAATTTAAACTATATTTTATTTATTTAAATACAATTTTACAAATTTTTAAAATTAAAACATGAATTAAATAAAAATAGTCGCAGCGTCTCCCAAACGAACAACATAAATTATTTTCCTGCGTCTGCGTCCAGCGTTTGCGTCAATGTCTTGCGTCTATTAAACGAACACAATTCTGCGGCTGCGGCTGAGTCTGCGTCTGCGTCTGCGTCTGCGTCTGCTAAACGAACAACATCCAAATGAACAGACGCAGCCGCAGCCGCAGACTCAGCCGCAGCCGCAGCCGCAGAAACCTGCGGCAACCAAACGAACAGGGCAATACACTACAATTTGCTTAAAATGTATAAAGAATGTAAAGAGTGTATTAACCCGTTGCCAGCGAAATCAAACCGGAAAGAGCTGATCATGGCTCTTTCAAAGACATTGGCAATAGTCCTCATAGGAATCCAGTATAAGAGGAAAAAATTAACAGAAATATAGAAGAAGATTGATGAGAATGCTACCAAAAAAAAAAAAAAAAAAGGAAGCAAACCTTTGATGATTGAAAGCCATGGCAGATGACAACAGTCTCCGTGGAGCCAGTATCATGCAAACTCCCACGAGTTTCTCACCATGACTGTTCTCTATTACAACTCTTCGTTGTTGAGCCTCTGTGACAAAAAAAACATCATTCGATCACTAACAATGCTATAAATCACATTCAAACAAAGCTTCTTTGGAGTTTTTTTTTTCTTAATGATTAAAAATGACTAAACATTAAAATCCAAATGACAGAACCTCTAGGAGGAACAAAACAATTGAACATAGATAGATGATTGATTGGTCTTGAGTAAAATTAATTAGGGAGGGGGTCATAGATGAGATCAAACTACCGGAGTTGTCCATGCGTTCATGGCTTGATTGCTTCCAACGTGTCTCCGACATTTTTAGACGCGGATCCTCGTGGTTTGGCCAGTGTCCGTTACAATCACAACACCTCAGGCGACTGCAAATTAAATATTACGTACTGGTTAGCTCGTAAAATTACCGTACAAAAATGTTACGATTTCTTTTGTATTTACAAATGAAATTTGTTTACTAATTTATCATATTCACAAAATATAACTTTTAAGATTTTTACAATATATTTTTTATAAAAAAAAAAAGAAGTTTTGGGTGAAAGATTACATAATTTTTTTTTTCTTAAAATATATTGAACATGTAAAAATACATTCTTTGAAAAACAAAATTTGATGAGCAAAGAAATAATTAGTAAGCATTTTAATTTACAAGGAAACTTTTAATATGTCTTTATGAATATATATTTTTTTCTCTCCAAACATCTAAGTAGTGATGGAATGCTTTATCCTTGTTTAAATCGCAATTTGTTGTCGAGGCCTCAAATTGATTTAAAGAAGACTTCTCTTAATACATAAACAAAGACCATCTACCAAGTTGGTTTAGAAAAATATTATCCTCGCCTGATGAAGTTTCCTCGATCATACAAATGACTTTTCACTGCAAATGTTTTATTAACAAAGACCAAAGACCTAAACAAAAATAAAAACAAAACAGCCTGTACCAATTACAAAGTATCATAATTAATAACCATCATCCTGAGAGTTTATTTCATGACAGTTCGAGCTTAAGAGAAAGTGAAAGTTAAGACAGAAAAAAAAGTTGTTAAAACATTAATAAAGAACATAGACCGGTTGCAAAAAAAAGACCAAGTTGATTA